TTTGACACAGACTACCGAACGACGGCCAAACTTTTACAAATACTACCATTCAATAATATATCCAGCAATTCAACACTGACACAATTTGCTTGAAATGCTTGAAACGCATAATAAATGAGAGCTTTTGTTCAAGTGACATTTACTTCCACATGTATTAAAATTTCTTCAAATTTATAATGTATAATTAAAATAATAGAAACTACTAGAATGATTTTTTTTTTATAGATTTAAGAACACTTTCATAACTGCAGTAGATAAAATTAACAATATTTGAGACTAACACGCTAACCACTACGCTACACAACTCCTGATCAATATATAGTGGCATTTAAATCATGTTTCTGATATGACCCTTGACTAAATGGACTGAAATATTTCTCGAAAAGATACGAATGTTGTGTCATAAAAGTTAATTTTAAGGTATAGTGGGTTTTTGCTTCATGTTTTTGTTAACCAAATGAATATTTTTAAGCAAACTTTGAGGATAAACTAAAACAAGAGGCCCAGGGGCCACATCGCTCACCTGAGCACTCTGGCTAGGAAAAAGCAGAAATCAGTTCAGTCTTGAAAAGTTTTGATATAAAAGTGGTTCGGGGGGGGGGGGGGGGTTGGGGTTTAATTTGAACTTGAATCTATACTTCAAAGGGATGCTTTTGAATTATTATGACAAATAATGGCTATGCTGTTCTTAGGAAGACAATTTTTATTGATATATCATATGTATTCCTTTGTATAACATTGATCCCCTGTTATGGCCCCTATATTCTCCTGGGGGGTCATGATTTGAACAAAATTTGAATCTACATTATCTGAGGATGCTTGCATTTATATATGACTAATTATTGCTTTGCAGAAGAAGATTTTAAAAGGCTTGCTTTTTCTTATGTATTCCTATGTAAAACTTTAATCGCCCATAGTGGCCCCCCCTACCCCTGGGGGGTCATGATTTAAACAAATTTGAATCTACACTACCTGAGGATGCACCCATAAAAAATAAAACAATCATGGCTTTGCTGTTCTTGAGAGAAAGATTTTTTCCTATGCATTTTATGTAAAACTTTGATCGCCCATTGTGGCCCCACCCTACCCCCCGGGTCATGATTTGAACAAATTTGAATCTACACTACCTGAGGATGCTTCCATATAAATATGACCAATCATGGCTTTGCTGTTTTTGAGAAAAAGATTTTTAAAGAGTTTTCCTATATATTCCTATGTAAAACTTTGATCGCCCATTGTGGCCCCATCCTACCCCCGGGGGTCATGATTTGAACAAACTTGAATCTACACTACCTGAGGATGCTTCCATATAAATATGACCAATCATGGCTTTGCTGTTCTTGAGAAGAAGATTTTTAAAGAGTTTTCCTATATTTTCCTACGTAAAACTTTCATCGCCCATTGTGGCCCCACCCTAACCCCGGGGGTCATGATTTGAACAAAGTTGAATCTACACTACCTGAGGATGCTTCCATATAAGTTTCATATTTTCAAGCACAGTGGTTCTTGCAAAGAAGATTTTTAAATGATGCCATTAATTTTTCATGAATTCATGATTATCTCCCCTTGGAAGAAGGCGTGGCCCTTCGTTTGAACAAACTTGAATTCCCTTCACCCAAGGATACTCTGTGCCAAGTTTAGTTGAAATTGGCCTAGTAGTTCTGGAGAAGAAGATGAAATTGTGAAAAGTTTACAACGACAACAACGACAACGCCGCCGCCGCCGACGACAGACAACGGACAAATTTTGATCAGAAAATCTCACTTGAGCCTTCGGCTCAGGTGAGCTAAAAAGGAGCGAAGAACCACTCATATCTAAAAATCGTGTTATAGTAATTCTTTTTGCCCTCTTTAGTGTGTGTAAGAGAATGCTATTTTATAGGCAAATAATTTCAATCTTTGTGAGATTTTTGCAAATTGTGGAGATTTTACATAAAGTTTAAATTTGTACTTTAATGTTACAAGAAATATCAAAGAAATGTTTGTTATAATTGAGATTTGTTTTTCACCTTCATATTTGTCGCACTATAGGCATTTCACTTGCCTTCTTCGCCCATCTTCTTAATTTACCCATGATAGACATGTATACTAATGGAAAAAAGTAACTACGTTTTCATCTTAATTCTGAATTAACTAGCATCAGATAAAAAAAAACCCAGAGAGGGCTACATCATTGCAGCTATCAATACGTCACAAAATCGTATACTTTCTGATAGTTTAAATGTCTCCAGCGATTTGATGTGAGGACCAAAAATTAAAAGTGGTGTCTACAGAAAATTCAGAAAGTCAATAACGAGGCATACACTTGTGGAGGTACTATACTTGTTTGACTTCCCGTTTCTTTGGCATCGTCATCATTTTCCGGTGACAGCAATGTATTCTATGGAAAAATGACTACGCCATATGAAACGTACACACAAGTTAAATCATCGGTGCAAGTGAATTTAGTTTCAGTCAGGCATATGCATTTGTTTCTACTTTTTTTTTTTAATTTGTTTTTTGTTCATATTTGAATGATATATTGTGTGAATACAAGATGTATGACTATGTATTTTTTTTCTTTTCGTTGATCTTTTTTTCATATGTGAATAAAAACATTTTCACTGTCTTCTCTCTTTTCTCTATTTGAAGTTTAGTTTCCAAACTTAAATCACATACATGTATTGTGACGTACTGCTGAATAACATGCCAATACTACAAATATTCTACGACCCCTTACCCCCCCCCCCCCCATTTCCGGTATTTAACTCGTTCTATGAATTTTAAATCCATTATAAAAGATTTGAAATGTATGGAATCCGGATAAATCCTCGTAGTTAACGCGATGACATAAGGTGCGATGACGTTGACGAGAAATCGTCAGTGCACCGTCGCACCATCAACTATGAGTCGATGGTGTGATGGTACGGCATTGGCCCAGTCCAGACTGCATACTTTGGCAAGCCATGGACATCTTACACTGCTTTTTCTCTTTTTCTTGTGGAAAAAAAAACATGTTTCTGCATTGAGCTGTTAGATTTTAGGGTCTGAAACTTATGGAATCCGAATAGGGCCACGTAGTTCACCATCTTACCATCACGCCATCAACCCATAGTTGATGGATAACTCTGCAAATAAAAACTATATGTATTTTCCAATGAATATACAAAGATTTCGTGTTTTCCAATGATCTTTAAAAAAATATACAGGTATATCATTTATTAAAAATTGTTCACGGAGCATGTCACTTTTTCGCAAATTTACATTTCATTATAGACACTTTTTCGAAATTAAAAATTACACTGTTACAGCGCATAAAGATAAGTAATATTTCACCTGTCTCATCAATACTCTTGAAACGTCATTTGGCAAAAATTTGAATTGGAGGGTTAAGGACTGTTTTTATCGCCAATTATAGAAGATCAATGCATAAAAACAAAGTCAAGAATGGCAACGTCATTGAACGTCTTGGAGCACCGAGCTATTAAAAAATTATGTCTGCAGAGTAAAATGCCCGAAAGAGACTAAAATGTTTTTAGATGCTGCTGGGGATAACCTACACGGATATAGGATCAGTGTCCGATGGTGGTAACTTTTTTTTAGAATGGGAAAATTGACATTTTTGATGATCAACTCCTGCGATACCCCAGTACCCCGTTATCGCATGGACGTTGCGCCTATGGATTTTGCATTGTTTTCATACCTGATCGTTTAACTGAGTAGACACTGATTTTTCATATCTCACTAATATCCGATATGCCACAAAAGACATATTTTAGAAAATAATGTAACATGTCTTTCTATAGTTATTCAAGTTTGAAGTAGGTAAAAGACATGAAAAGTTTAGAACTGAAAGACATTTAGAACCGTGAAAAAGCAACAGGTTTGGAATCAGGTTGTCACGTCACCTAGCGTCATAAAACGTCAAGTGACTGCTCCGTGAATCCCATGACTGCACAATGAAAATCTTTGTATATTTCCAAATATTAGTAAATGGGCCTGATTTTTTTTTTACATACTAATGAATTTAATCAGACATAGGCCAATCTTCAAAGTACTGCGAACTTTTCTAACAATCCTCGTATTTCTATGTAAAATTTTGTTTCATTCCCCATTGTGGTCCCTCCCTATCCCTGAGGAGTCATGATTTGAACAAACTTGAATCTACACAATGAAATAAAGCTTTTACATATGATTACACTTTTCTGGCCCAGTGGTTCTTGAGAAGATTTTTAAAAGATGCCATCAAATTTTCACTATTCTTAATTATCTCTCCTTGAAAGAGGGCGTGGCCCTTCATTTGAACAAACTTGAATCCCCTTCACCCAAGGATGCTTTGAGGTAAGTTTGCTAGAAACTGGCCTAGTGGTTCTAGAAAAGAAGTCAAAAATGTGAAAAGTTTACAGACGGACGGACGCCGGACAAAATGTGATCAGAAAAACTCACACGAGCTTTTAGCTCAGGTGAGCTCAAAAGTTGACGACCCTCGAGATTATAAAATTGGCCGCCACAAAGAAGACGTGTTGAGTACTCGATGGAATAAATTGGGGGCCATCAAGTAAAATATTCTAATAAGTAATAACCAATCTTGTTTGCGCACCATCGTAAATAAATAACAAATGTCTGTCATTTAACGTATATAAATCAATTGCAAATAATTTTTTTATATACTTTTTTTCCTTCTAGACATTAATGTAAAATGTATTATCTTTGATACTTTACTGAAATATATACATTAGTCAATTGTGAAAATAATAATATGGTCCGTTACTTACGTGTATTTTGATAGAAAAAAAAAAAACACTAAGGACACAGATGCATTTTTCGGGAATATCATATGTGGTCAACGGAGATCTTACCATAATGGATATTCATGAAATATTCTCGAAATACGTATAAAAATTTTCTCATGAAAGTATTTTGTAACAATATTTTTAACCTTAACTATTGTCCCAGAAAAGTTTTTGTGAACCATACCACTGTAAATATGAGGGACATAAATTAAGGTATTATAAACCACCCTTATATTAAGAATCCTGAAAAAGTGGTGACAGGGGCATCTTGATGCGATACATAACCTGCACCACTGTGGCGTCTCACCCACACCCTGTCCCCTCTCTGAAGTGCTAACACAACCATATTTGGACCTGCTTCATAAGACTCGTTCCCATTACTGGAAGCCACTGTCCTAACTTTAGAAAGTCCATTTAGCACAATGTCTGCAAAAATGCTGCTAGAACCATAACTTTGGACATTGGCAAAGAATGCGTAGTGCCCGGTGGTGGGAGCGGTGAACACCCCTGTACTCGGGTTGTATCCGCCACCCGCGTTGCTGATAACTCTGGGAAATATCAACACCCCTTTGTTCCATGTGGAACTCACTGAAGTTGCCCCAGCAGAAAAGGCAACCTTCGTCGACAAATCTACAAATTTTAAACTGGATACATACTCTCTGTTTACAAATAAAAATGAAAATTAAAAACAAATAAAATTGAATAACCGTTAGCACATTTTAGGTTAAAGAACTCTATAAAGTCGAACTTTAGTTACGCTTTACGATCTTATAGAGCACGTGTGTCTTAGTTAAACATTCGTCAAACGAATTAAGAAAGCTCTAAACACTTAGGAAAATGTTTTTTTAGACTTTGAGAAAATTGTTTTATATAGAGGTGTACATATGGAGTCTATCTAGTTAATTTTCAATATGGAATACCTGCCATACTTCTCCAGGAAAAAATGTTCAAAGACAGTGAAGTATTAGTGAACAGAATTTACAGTTGTTTACCTACATTAAAAAATAAAACAAATGGAAATCGTTTCCTAATTACTCCATTGTAGTAATATAATGTTTAAAATACTAGCACTTTCATCTATTTCAAATTGTGTCATTTTACCGTAGATTTCCATTTATTTTACATCAAAGTCGTCCGCGTGGCGCAGTGGCTAGACCGTTTGCTCTAGAGTCGCGGAGTAAAGGAGTTAATCCTTGCGTCGCAGGTTCGAATCCCACTGCGGGTCATGGAGACCAGTCCTTCGGATGATACCGCATAAACCGAGGTTCCGTGTCGCAGTAGGTTCTGGCGCGAAAAAGATCACTCATTGTTCAAAGGCCCAAACTGCCGAGTACAGGTCTAAATTTGCAGTCCTCCACCGGCATGTGGTGGCGTCTTAATATGAGTGAAAAATTCTCGAAGGGACGTTAAACAATCAAAAAACATTTTACATCAAAGGGTAGATCACTAACTACACCCCCCCCCCCCCACTCCCCCCAAAAAACAACAACATGGATTTAGAACTCTTCAGTGTGCAGTGTTTAGAGTCGAACTTCCTTAAGAAAATGATTAAAAATTCATATTGCAATATTGTACTTACCAATAGCAATATTGGCAACCGTTCTGTTAAGGCTTATTGCAATATTTTGAAAGTTGCTGAAATTTCTCTGAAATTAAAAATCAAACATCTGAAGACCATTCCTAACTAAAAAAAGAAAAAAAGAAATCGATGAGCATTATCGAATGATTTATCAGGTTTAGTACAAAACAGCATTCATACTGACAAATTACACAGCAAGTTTTGACAGGGACATCTCCAGAAATTTCAGTGAATCCAGGTGGTATGAACACGTAGGAAAGGAGATAGGTGAACAGGGCGTGCAGAATGCCTATAGTTTCAGATATGTAAAAATGATATTCAATTTGTGAATTTAGTATTTAGAGTAGAGTTATCTTTTGAAATTTATGAAATTATGTTAAAACAAAATTAACTTTTCTGAGCAAATTTTCTAGGCAAAAATTATTCTGTTATTAAAAAATAATGTGGTATTCGTGGGGTTGGAATCCTAGCAATAAAAATCCTGAGTATTATTTTCCTTTGAAACTAACGCGATAACCAGTAAGCAGGCGCGTAGCTGCCTATACGCAATTGCGTACACATCATTTTAACAACAAAAAAAATCTACGAGAGAGAGAGAGAGAGAGAGAGAGAATCGCAATATCAACCAGCAAATATTTCTGTTTCAAATTATTTTCAAATTATTTTTGTCATATTATTTCGAATAAATTATTGCGATGTCATATCTAAAAATCAAATTTGAAATCTACATGTATTATTAAATTATACTAAATCCAAATAAATTATTCGTTGGTTTGTAAGTGTTCTATAATAGATTGACATTTTTTAAAGATATTTGTTGAGAAATAAAATTTTAATCATATCGTTGAATGGCTTGATCAAATAGTATATATTTTAAATACAACTTTTTTTTAACTAACATTTATTATACTCGTTGCTGAACATTATACTTTTTAAAAAATGCAGACGATACCAATGTATCGGTAAAATACCCTGCCACAAGAACACGTATAATAAGTTTCCGTGGAAGTTGAACTTTGCGTTAAAAACAATATTACAAAGTATTTTTATTTCTAAAGTAAAGCGAAGCATCATTTTTCCTGCAAGAAAGTGATTGAAATATTTGGAAAACCCTGCAGCTTCCAGGGGCTTCGTCCCCTGGGCCCCCACCAGGGAGGGCTTTACCCTGTCATTCTCTGCGTACACTACACTTCCATTCTGACTACGCGCCTGGTAAGCTACACCGCTCTTGATGAAAAGTAGCATTTAAATCATGTTTGTGATATAACCCTTGACTAAATGGACTTCAGGTATTTCTCGGAAGATGCGAAATTTGTGTCATAAAGGTGTATTTTTAAGGTATAATGGGTCTTTGCTCAATGTTTTTGTTAACCGAAAATTGGGATTTATGTCTCTCAGTTGATTCGATACGCAAGAACATGCTCTACGTATAAACAATTTCTAAAACGAGGCAAGCTATTGAAAAACAAGTTGATGAAACAAGGATATCAACATTATCGTTTGAAGTCATCCATTCGCAAGTTTTATGGTCGATACAATGACCTTATCGGCACATACAACCTATCATTGAGTCAAATGCTGACTGAAGTTTTTCATACTAACTGTTAGGCCATTATTTATACACTGAATTGTCTACTGATTTTTCTGGGTTTTTCCCCTGATCATGACAAGGAGCACACGGCGGCTGTGACAGGTCGGCACGGGATGCTCACTCCTCCATGGCACCTGATCCCACCTCTAAATTTTGAGGTACGTGTTTGCTCTGCTCCAAACTGATGATTTGTATTGTTTCATTGGACTTTCGAGATTAAAGACAGTTCGTTATCTTCATATTTTATTTTTACGCAAACTTTGATAAACTTTCAAAAAAAATGAAGCGAAGACTCACTCATATCGAAAAATTTTATCATAGTATGAAAAAATGATCATTTTGCCCTCTTGAGTCTGTGGGTGCTATTTCATAGGCAAATCTTTCAATCTTTGTGAGATCTTTGCAAATGTTAGAGATTTTACACAAAGTATTATGATACTTTAATGTTAGATGAAATGTCAAAGAAAATGCTGTTATATTAAGATTTAATTCTTCACTTTCATGTTTGTCGCACTATATAGGCACTTCGCTCGCCTTGATCGCCCATCTTCTTTTGATACTGCAATTAAAGCTGTTGTCTTATAGACAACTCTGTTAGAACATCTTAATTTAGTAAAACGACAAACCTGTATAATTTGCAAAGAAGTGTCGTGATGATTTTGACTTTTTTCCAGTGAAAGCACTTTTTGTGTCAGCTCATCGATTTCCTTTTTTAGTTCCGTGATTTCTTTTCGAACATTCTGATTCATTAAGTTACAGTCGGGTTGGTTTCCTTTGAGACTGGTAGATGAGGAGTTATTCGATTGTTCGTTCAGCCGAAGTCCTCTAGTTGTGTAGAAAAAGAGAAGCGATACCAACAAGTAAGTAGGCAGATGATCACACATTCTGCTCACATAAAAGTTTTTGGATTAAAAAAAAAATAAGAAGAGCATCAACTAGATAGGCGTAATACCTCTGAACTAAGAGATAAAGAAACGAACAAATAAACTTCAAATGTTGTTGTGTTTACTCTTTCCTAATTAAGCAGTATCTGATGGTAATCTTATTTTTAGGTCACTTGAGTCACTCAGGTGACCTTTTGCTATCTGATTTTGTCCGTCGTCGTTCGTCGGTCGTAAACTTTTGAATATTTTACCTTCTTTTATATCATTAACGCTGAACCAATATAGCATCTATCGGTGAATGGAAACATAAATTGTGAATTTCATTGGACTCTGCCTTCCCGGGGCCTGAGGGGTGGTCAAGTAGTCAATCCGTTGGCATGATAAGAATGGAGCCCTCTACGAAATTTTGAAATTCATGACCCCTGGATTAGGGGTTCCTGTCTGTCGACGATATAATAAAACTGCATAAATTATTTAAAAATCTCCGCTCCCAATTTAGCATAGAAACTAAATGCATGGTTATAACACTGTATAACGAGCAGGGATGCCTTTACTTAAATTGTGAATTTCATGGCCCCTGAGTCAGGAGTTCTGGTCTAGGGCGGAGCTGTATTGAGGAAATGGTGAAAATTATGGTGGCATATTTCTTTCCCCTATATGAAGGTTATTTTTTCTTTCTACTATGTCGAAAAGCAAAATAATTATTTGAACTTGAAACATTAATATGTCAACATGCAACATAACTATGTTGGCATGCAACATAAAAATGTTGAAATGCAAGGGAAAGGTGATCAGATAAGAATTCAGAAAATTTTCATAAATTATTAAATATCGTTCATATTAAACTTCCAACATGCTAGATGTAACTTATTTATGTTGACATGCAACTTGTTCAGATGGTCATTCAACTTATCTCGCATGTCAACATAAATAAGTTGCTTGTGAACATAAATAAGCTGCATGTTAACATATTTTCCTCGCATGTAAACCTAAATTATTTGGATGTTTACATCAATAAGTTGCGTGTCGACATAAATAAGTTGCATCTAGCATGTTGTAAGTCACATGTAGGCAATATTTGATAATTTTTGAAAATTTTCAAATTCTTATCACATTTTTTTTCCATGTCAGCATAGTTATACTGCATCTTGACGTATTTAGGCTTCAAGTTGATATAGTTTTTTACATGTCGACATAATCTATAGATAAATAACTTGCATATAGGGGGCAGAAATATGCCATCACAGAAATCAATTCAAACATTCTTTTAACATTTTGTTAGGAAATATAATTTAATTGCAAGTAAACACTTTCTTTTGCATGTTTATGTTACCACATTGATTTCTGTTCATCGATACTTGAATTAGTTATCTATGAACATCTTGTCCGTGGGAAAAATTGCTGCTTCCCCATGTTGATATCAAAATATATAAATTTAATATTTATACCTACACTACTGACAAAATATTCAACTTAATGATGGAGGCCAGATGGAGGAGATTCATGCCATCGGAACGGGTGGATGGGGAGAACGTTGGATAAGACCCCATCCGTTTGAAACAACTCGGGAAATTAATTATCGTACAAAATAAATTCGATTGTCATCTGTTTAAAGCAATGCTTCTGGGTGTTTTTTTTTCTTTTAAATTTGAAAAAAAAAAGTCTGGATAGGGGTGGATGAAGGTGGATTAACCCCTTTCAGATCTTTCCCCTTTCTAGTGAAGTCTATGGTTTGGGGGGCCATGAAAATGTTCAGAGTTTCCTAAAACATTTAATTCTTTCACTCATCTCTAAATCAATGTAAGAACCATCTGTAAGCAGAGTTCTTTTTCTGATGTATTTTGATTTAGAGTAATCTGCCCTTAGTTCTGAAATATAATTAATATCTGCAGTGTATTACTCAATTATTTAACACATTCTAAGCATTTCAATAGGCCAAGATGAAATCAAACACTTTTAAGTTCCCTCAATTAAGTAAAAAACATTAATTTCGTTGTCTTTGAACACTTTTCCTTGGAGTAAATGCCAGCTAGGTAGCATATGTTGAAACTGAAAAAGATTGGCTAATATTTACATGCACCTTTATAGAGTATGTATTACTCGTATTACTATAGTACAACTTCCTCAATGACAAAAAAAATTGCTTTAGTGTATGTATATATATATATATATATATATATATATATATATATATATATATATATATATAGAGGGTCCACAGGCACGTGATGTTACTTATTATTTTTCTTTTAATAAAAAAAAATACCCGCTACCTAATATTTATTAGGTAGGGGGTATATTTTTTACTAAAAGAAAAATAAGTAACGTCAGGTTCCTGTGAGAGGATTCTTATATTGAAACTTAATTACTCGCAGCAAAAGTGTTCTGAATCAATCTATGCCAACAAAACGAAGTTTTGATTATCAAATGTACTGAATAACTGTGTAGTGAATAATCTTGGGAAAATGATTGAAAATGTACTTTATGAAATTATATATATACGGTCATACAACTTAATAATATATTTATTATGACATTTAATGAGGGGGGGGGGGGGGGGTTAATGCGCTTCTATACTCAAAATATTACTTTAAAATTATGCGTATATTTGCTTAAGTTATATGCGTTTATTTGCTAAAAGTTACATAATTCGCAAAAGTCACCAAAGAAAACGAGCTCAATACATGGGCTTCCGTAGCTTTAGGATGAACTATAGCAATAAAATGAAATCGTGTGTAATGTTTATTCTACATAGCCAAATATTATTACTTTCAGTTCAAAGACAATAACTACATCTACATTTCGTTTGTGGTAGCATAAGTTAATTTTATAATGCCAAAAGGAGAGTAGGTAGGGGATTTTATTTATTTATTTTTTGGTTCTGTAAAAAATTTACGTCTTTCATCCTTTTTTAACATTTAAATGGGAGAAGTGACATAGCAATCATCATGGGATATCCAAGGGTGATCTTGTCTTTAACTCATAGCAATTAGCTTTGTTTTCTTTTGCATAGTATATAATGGCTAAATTACTGAGGGGCACATTTGTCTGTAAAGTAGCTTTTTCTATTGAAAAGTACATACTGGTAACATATCCCCCACCCCCCCCCCCCCGGTTCCTACGAGCCTGATATAACGATAAATAATTTTTTTTTTTTAATTTTAATCTTGTTTTATTGATGTTAGAAAAAAGTCACAGTCACAATCAAAATAATATAAATACATATACATAAGAAATATCACAATTCACACAGTCCTTCATATAAAATACTCTGTAGATTCTTGGGACAGATGCAAACTTGTACACAGCTTTTATATTCTCCATTCAATCAACCAAACCAAAAGTATACTAAAAGTAAATGAAAAAGAAAACATTCTTAATATTCAGCACATGTAGTAAATTATTGTAAGAAAAAATTCAAGTATATGTAAAGTTGTACCTCTAGTTATATCTTAAAACCTAGTTTTCTTAAACACTCTTTATGTGCTTCAATTTCTTCTTTGCAGTTTTCCTCTCCGTTTGCCATGATACTAAATCAAAAAAAAAAAATAATAAAATTGGTAGAAATTTTTTTTTAGATAAGAATAAAATATTTATGAACAATCTCTTATTAAATATTTAAAAGTATAAAAGTCATCTATGTGTCTTTTTTGCTTTTATGTCAAACTGAAATCGTGAAATGCGGTGTAGAAAGAGAAGGAAAGGGATGGGAAGGGAGGGATAGCTCCTAACTCTGTTATTATGTGTATTGTAATCAACTATAGAAGTTGATTCTTTCAATGTAATCCAGTTGTTTATTATGGCTAATGCATATCAACTGTAGAAGTTATGCGTAATAAACAACTGGATTGCATCATCCAAACTCGACATATAGTGGTCTACCTATTAAGTAAGTGAAAATTATTTTTACAAAGTGTATTATAGAATTTATATCATAATAGTTTTTGTTGTAATGCTCGGTAGAGGACCTTTTATATGATTCAGTTTGACTTGCTGTTTGCATTAGGTTTGTGACATCGATACCTTTTATCATCACCCTATCCATCATCTATAATTCAATTCAATGGCAAGCTTGGCAATAAAGGATAGATGAACATAAACCTTAGAAATGGGAATAGTCAATGGAGTCAGAGTATAAAATAACTCAGAAATTGAGAAAATAAATATTGCAAAACAATAATTTTTTTGTAATGAAGTATTTGAACTTACCATTCATCTCTTACTTTCCTTGTTTCAGGACAAGCACAACACGGTTTTAGCTTCTTGTCTGGTTCACTTGACTTCTCCGGTTCCTTAGAAGTTGATTCTGAAGATCCCATAGTGAAAATTATGAAACTGGAAAAACACCTACATAACCTTATACATGGGCGCAGACATTTTGGACACCCAAAGTTGTGCGGAGAAGAAAATGCTACACGGCACATGATTGGTCATTAAGAGAAAAGACTTGTTATGTATTTGACAAGTGAAATAAAGGTGATAAAAATCTCATATCAAGACTTAAGCTTCTTTGAGATATATAGGAGATACAGGTAAAAATTTGAAGGGAGGGGTGCACTTTGGTTAGAGATTTTCATTTGGTGCTGAACGCACCTAGTTGTAAACAAATGGAATTTGAAAGTAAAAGTGCAACGGCACGGTATATTTTTTCTGGCATGTTTTGTTTTGCAAGATCTCGAACTTTCACGGCAAGAAAGTCATTTGCCCAAAATTGAATATATGAATCAGTGACAGGGGCTCAACTTTGTATGGAAGTCTATGGGAAAACATTTGGTGGTGTTTGTCCAACTAGCATGCGACCTTCGATTGAAAGTGAAACCGGAAGTTCATTGGCACAAACTAATAGGCGTAGCTTACTATAAATCTATTTTATTTTATTGTCTAAATTTTGTTAAAGATTGATGATGATAAATTATACATTATGCATCAATACGGTAAATATTTATCTCAATGTTAATTGATTCACTTTTGAAATATCAAAATTTAACATACTAATATTTACCTGATTTAGCCAAATCAACATGGCGGAAGGAGGAGATTTTCAGGTATTGTGCACATTTAATTTGCGCAAATATTCTCAAATTATTGATCGAAGATTATTGCATGGCTTACATAATAATTTAAAACGTCGATGGATTCATAAATATGGTATTTCAATTGTTGTACATGGCGCATTTTTTTTTACCGGAGACATTTTCCACTGTGGTCAGGTGGAAGCTCTTCTTCAAAATTAGAAAATATTTGTCTTACTAAAATAAACTTTTATTTAGTTCGATGAAGATGAAGTGGAAGACGATATTCCATTGGAAAAGAGAAAGAAAATATTTTTAAAAGAATGTAAGTATACATTTATTTAGTATTTACAAAAAAGATAGCATATCAGAAGTCATTTTTACAACATCCCTCCTTGTGTTTTTTTTTGGTCAAACCTTAGGCACTCGACGTATGTTTGGTCACCCCCCCCCCCCCGCCAAAAATTAAAAATAAATAAAGATAAAACAAAGTTTTGTAAACAAAAGGCCACTGTTTAAATGTTAATACTACATTAACAATGGAGTTGGATTTATAATAGAGTTGAAATGAATACCAAAAATCAATATTCAAATATTCGAGACTACTCTTCTGTTCGTTTTCGAATGTTCATCGATGTTATATTTTAAGTATATCTTTCTCAAATGTTATAATACTGGTAATTTTGTATAAGTATAATGTATATATAATAATGAATTTATTTCAATATAGTTACCAGGGTTTGACACTAAAGTATATACGACCGACCCAGTCTAGTAAATGAGTGGTCCGTTCATGTAAAATGTACGTTAACTGGACCTGTTGGTTGTGTTGATAAAATAACTGTTAAATTCTATTTCAGTCTTCCATATAAATATTCACAAAACTTAAAAGAAATTTACTTATTTGTCCGATTGTAAATACATGGTAAAGAAAAAAATCCCGTATGAAACAATCGCTATTTTAGCCATAGGCACCTGAAGTTTGCATTGACCCTCCCCCCCACACACACACACATGCACACAAACACACACACATTAATTAAAAAATACTAAGAGCTTATAATTTCTCAAAAGTATTATAATTTATATTTTCCCGTCAATCACACCCATATTTTGTTTCATGCAAGCAGATTGTACTTTTTCTCATGTTTAGAGAATGGTCATGAAAATACAGCCACGGCTGTTATAGAAAAGTCGCGGTAGAAACAAGCTTCATTCAGTATCAATATGGTATAAATAGTTACCAAAAAAAATATATTCTGTAATTAATTTTTAATATTTAGGATTAAATTTTATTGAAAGTTCATTGAATTATCTTTAAAGCTTAGGATATTCGCATGTCGTGATGAACACACTCAATTTGCGAGTCAGTCAATTTCTTGACATGCGCTAGAGACGATTTCAAAATTACATCATTAAAATTAGTGATTATAAGAATTAAATTTGCAGGTTTGGTCAGAGCTAGTGATTTTACGTTCAGGGCTAGTAAAGATTATGGGAAGTAGCCTAACTGGTCTAGTAATCATAAAAACTAATGTCAAACTCTGGTTTCTTAACGTTAAACTGTCCATTGTTTAGGGTAAGCATGCAGCTTTTCCTCAAAGCTAATGAAAAACTGAACATTTACAAAGAGATTTTAATGTTTCCTTTTTAGTATGAAATTGTTGTCAGTGTCATGTTTGAGAAACTAAAACCTATATCATTCTCGTTTTCACAAGCATTTTTTAAAAAAAGAATTCAATACAGTATAATCAATACAGGTTTTAAATCTTTCTGTAAGCAAAACTTTTTGGAAACAAACTGAAACTTTTTTTAGAAGGTATGACAATATATTTTTTTTTTCAGTGGCACTGATCTTGCCCTACAAGTATTTACAGTATAGACCTTATTTCATGACGCAAGGTTAGAAATCTGACCAAAATGTGGACGAAAAATGTGTAAATTTCCGTATTAAAATAGGAAACCATCTTAACATGCTACAATTCATAAAATTCTATGCATGGAAAATACAGAAAAATCATCACAGTTTGATAGTAAGAATCATTATGACACATGCTGTAGAAAATCGAAAGTACATGTGCATTATCAGGGTATTCAAGTTACATATTTCTGCATGAACATACCACTAAAATGACACTTGTTTCAAAGATCAGTCTATAATTAATTTTTCAAAAATTTAAGTCAGTAATTAGATTTTAGGATGATTTCAGATGCTTTTTAAAAGAAAACACATTTTCGTGATTTAGTGAAACCTGTGATAGAAAAATGCATGGAAATGGCAGGGCCATGCATACGATCAGTGATGAAACTGGTGGGCATGAATAAAACTTCATAAAATTTTATGAAAATGAAATGTCTATATTCATCAAAGTATTAAATTCAGAATCATAGAAAGATCTACTGCACCTCAGCACTGAGACGTAGCAAAATAAACTTTTCATATGCAATCAAGCTAAAGAATAGTAGTTGTATTTCCTATGATTAATTCACCAAGCATTTTTCCAGGTATGATCATTTTGAAAATCCCCTCCAGTTTAAATACATGTGAAGAAATGACCAAGCTAAATGTTTTACTGAAATCAACTACAGTACAAAATTTGTTGATTGGTAAATTCTTCATTTTAAATTTCTTTTTCCTGTTGTAGTGCGCTGTATGATGTATGGTTTTGGCGATGACAGGAATCCATATACAGAAAGTGTAGAGCTGCTGGAGGATCTTGTCATTGAATACATTACAGAAATGGTAAAAATAGGCATATATAACTGTATAACAGAAATGGTAAAAATAAGCATATAGCCATATAAGTATATAATGGTAATAATAGGCATATAGCTGTACGTATTACAGAAATGGTAAGAATAGACGTATGGCTGTATTACAGAAATAGTAAAAATAGACATATAACTGTATAACAGAAATGGTAAAAATAGGCATATAACAGTATAACAGAAATGGTAAAAATAGGCATATATAACTATATAATAGAAATGGTAAAAATAGGCATATAGCCGTAGTACAGAAATGGGAAAAATAGACATATAACTGTATAAAGAAATGGTAAAAATAGACATATAACGGTATAACAGAATTGGTAAAAATCGGCATATATAGCTGTATAATAGAAATGGTGATAATAGATATATAGCTGTATTACAGAAATGATAAAAATAGACATAAAGCTGTATTACAGAAATTGTAAAAATAGATATAGATAACTGTATTACAGAAATGGTAAAAATAGACTGCAGCTGTATTGCGGAAATTGTAAAAATAGACATATAGCTGTATATTACAGAAATTGTAAAAATATACATTTAGCTGTTAAACAGAAGTGGTAAAAATAGATATGGATACATAAATGGTAAAAATAGACATACATGTATAGCTGGATTACAGATATGGTATATGGTAATATATAAAGCATATAGCTGTGAAACAGAAATGGTAAAAATAGGCAGTAGTTGTGTAACAGACATGTTAAAAATAGGTATATAGCTTTGTAACAGAAATGCTTAAAATAGGCATAAAGCTCTATTACAGATATGGTAAAAATAGACATACAGCTGTGTAACAAAAAAAGTAAAAATAGGCATACAGCTGTGTAACAAAATGGTAACATTAATAGGCATAAAGCTGTGTAACAGAAATGGTAAAAAGGCATGTTGGTGCATAACAGAAATGGTATAAACAGGCATGTATTAAGCATTGAATTGTTATTTTTTGAAAGATTTAGTCTCATTACTGCAACAGTGTGTGCAAACAAATTGAGTAACATGCATCAACATATTATGAAAATTTGTTTGCACACACTGTTGCAACAGTGTCTGTACACAAAATGTATCTTCCATATTTATGTTCCCCAAACGAAGTTTGTGAACATATTGTTTTTACTCTGTTTCTTCTTCTTCTTCTTATTCTTTTTTTCTACTTTCTTCTCCGGTACTTTTTTGTCCGGGAGTGTTCTCATAAAACCACTCATCCGATTGACATGAAACCTTTTTAGGGTTAATAGGCATGTTGTGTAGGTGTTCGGAACGAAGGTCATTTTGCGCCCACATGCATGCATGTGCGCGCGTGCAATGAGTGAAATGACTGATATACTTGATGAAGCCGTAACTTTTGTATTTCTTAATGAATTGCTTTGAAACTCAAAATGTAAAGATATATTAGTAGTCTAGACAAGATAACATGGTCAAATTAGCGTGAACTCACGCGCATGCACGTGCGCTCTTCTCTGATTGGCTGATACAAAAATCTCATTAATTTCCTTGTTTTTTGACAAAATACTTTGAAATTTAGAATATAGGTATATATTGTAAGATGTTACAACATGTTATATAGGAAATTTCTTGAAAACACGCACATGCAGGTGTGCTGCAATCTGATTGGTTGAAACTTTAAATGTCTATAACTCCCTTGGTTTTCAACAAAACAGGATGAAATTTATGACATGGATAGGCACATAGAGCTCCTACATTATGATACTATCAAATTGAATGCAAGGCCATGCATGCGCGTATGCTGAATTCTAATTGGCTAATACTTAAAGAGTTACATTTCTCTTATTTTTCGATGAGATTCTTTAATATTTAACACAAATGTATGTATTGTGAGACACTATAAGAAAATTAATGTGAAAAATGTAGAAATCATGTGCAAGCACATGCGCTGAAATTTGATTGGCTAATACCCATATGGCTATATCGGAGTAGTTTTCCAATGAAAAACCCTTAAAAGTAAAGTGTCCATCTATATTACAAAAGTATTGTCTAAATTGAAGCTTGTAGGGAATGGGGCATCATAAGGGATTGGGGAGCCGTTTGGGGAACATCTGTAACGGTTCCCGTTACAATTAGCACTAGTCTCATTAAAAAATGAGCTGACAATGAATTTTTTTCTATAGCTAAATAATTTAATTTTCAGACAAAAAAAGCTATGGAGGTCGGGCGTCCAGGTAGAATTTCTGTAGAAGACATCATCTTTCTGATCCGAAAAGACCCAAAGAAATACTCGCGTGTGAAAGAACTTCTAATGATGAATGAAGAACTAAGAAAAGCAAGAAAGGCCTTTGATGAAATTAAATATGCTACTACAAAATGAAAGTTCCATAAAAACAGACCATCTGGACTACATGTATATAGGGAAATGTTGCATTGAAATCACATGTCTGTGAATGAATTATATTTGTAGTACTGAGCTATTATGCATCTTTGAGATTGGTCATGGTTAATAGAAACTCTGAGCTTTTGAGGGTGATAATATTTCATATGAAGAGTACCTTGGTAATACAATGTATATTTATCATTTAAAAGCCATTTTGCTTTATCTTTAAAGGGAAGCAATGGAATAAAATATTTTTTATGTAATGAATATATGTACCAGATCATAAATTTTTGATTTTTGATAAAAAAAAAATTTTCAATTAAAGTATTGAAATAAGGAAACCTTGTAGAATTGACGATTTTTGTTGTTTATTGAAAAAAAATAACTATTTCTTATATCAAGAACCTCACTGCAGGTAAAATATCCTGTTAATAAATTTTATGATACAGGTAAAATATGCTGTTAATAAATTTTATGATACAGGTAAAATATGCTGTTAATAAATTTTATGATACATGTATTTACTTTGTATTTATCATTATTCAGACCTGAAAATTAACAATGGCTCAGTTTTGAAATGAAAATTATTGTTTTTTATGCCCCGCCATGAAAATGGCCAGGACATATACTCCCAGTAGTATTTGTCATGTCCGTCATCTGTCCTTCTGTCTCTCCATCCATCAAATTTTGCATTTAGCTCAGTTTCAAAGAACCGTTCACCATATTTTAAAGCCAAATTCCTACACTGATATATTTTGTTGAGAGCTATTCAACTGTGGTATTTATTTTGGACCTTTAACCTTTCGTGTGACATTGACCTCAACTTTTTGTCAGCTTGCATTTATCTTCGTTCCAGAGAAACTGTACAAGATATTTACATCAAAATTCATACAAAGATACAAATTCATAAGAGCAATTCAACAGTGTCATACCCTTTTGACTTTGACCTTTCCTTTATGCCCTTGACCTTACTTTTCCTCATTTTGCATTTATATTATCTTAGTTTCAGAGAAACTGTATAAGATATATTTATCAAACTTCAGAAAAGATGCATATTGATTGTATCTATAGATTCAAATGTGTCAAAAAAAATTTGGTCTAGACCTTCCATATGACTTTGACCTGAATTTTAATAATTTTAGATTTAGCACAGTTCAGAAGAAACTGTTCATGATATTTTCACAAACTTCCTACAATAACACATTTTTTTTTTTTTTTTTTTGGTGAGAGCTATTCAATTGTGCTAAAATTTTCCGTCCTTCCTTATGTCTTTGACCTTCCTATGACCTTGTAAACACTCCAATATTTTGAATTTTTTTTTAAATCAAAGATGTTTATTTGTGAGAACAATTCAACTTCATTATTTTTAATGGACCTACTAATGCGGTTTGGTCCGCCTTAAATTTAAAAATGTTTCTACCGGTCACATATTTATACTTAATTATATATATTAAATTTCAAACATATTTAGATAACTTATCTATTAATAAATAAATTTCTAAATTAACTTTCATGATGATAAAGAACGTTTTGAACATCAAATGTTAATCATTTATTAATGAATTACACATTATGCTATTAATTCCATGAATTTATGCATCGTGCAAAGTTAAGATGAAATATAATGTTATAAATGAGGTAAGGGGAGTTATCGTTCCTTTCGTCATTTTCCGGATTATATACGGAAATAGTCGAACATTGGCGACAACAGAGAACAGCAATGGCGGTGTTGTGAAAAGAGTGGATATGAAATCGTATATTGAATGTCATTTCCTGCACGGTCATTGTCGCAATGGCCACCATAAATAAATAATATGCAATCTGGGGAATAAGTTGCTTATTATTTAAAGTTGTTTGTTCTTTTATTTGCTACATATTGTTGTGTTTTGATATATCGCGGTGTTAGGAAATTTTTGTACAAGATGTCGGCAGGTTCCCACGCCGGTGGCGTGCTGCCGCCAGAGGTAAGATTATGTATGATAATTGTGTAGACTTTTTTAACAAAAAACATAAAGGAAAATAAAGTCGTTGAACTGACGTCTTCCTCAACGGATCGAAAAACCATTTTCCTCCCAAGGAATCCGAATTTCCTCGGTATTTGTGTCTTGTGATAATGACGCTAATTTTATGTCTTAAAGAGATTTTTTTTTAACAATTTGTCCTAAACACATTTGGACAATGTATCATGTTCACATAAAAATCTGGATATTAATATAATCATAGTCTTTCCAACAATTTCTTTGAAAGAGTAGAGTTGTACTTTTTATATGCACATACATAGGCCTACACATTATTTTGAACTGTTAAAAGTAGATATATTAAAAGACATATAGCAGAAATATCACTTTTTGCATGATCTTGATAAATAAGCTTGTTTTTAATTGGAGAATAAGTATGAATTTACTTGCAGTTCATTTATTTTTATTTTTTCAGCAAATTGGATATATTCCTGATAAGCTGAAGAAAGCTGAGAAAAGAATTGAAGCATTTCCTTATGACACGGAAGCATGGAGTGTTCTTATTCGAGATGCGCAGGTTAGTTGTTGAGTGTCAAGATTAGAATGGCTAGATTGAGACCCGTGTCAGAACAATAAGGATTATATTATTTATTTTCAAGTTGGAAATGTATGTCAGACAGACATTTCTCAAATATTTGTTATATTGCATATTATTTTGTTAACTTTGTTAAAAGAGCATTTTAACACATTGTCACAATTCAATCTCCTGCTTTTTGGAGTTGTGACAGCATGAGACTCAATAGCCTATAGACTTGCCAAAAAAAAGGAAAAATTATTATTCAGGAAATGTATGTGAATTATGTCTAAAATGAAATAATTTTGTTTTGTAGATGAAACCGATAGAGATAGCTCGGCAAGTATATGAGAGACTGGTTGCCCAATTTCCCAATGCAGGCAAATACTGGAGGATTTATATAGAACAAGAGGTTTATTCAGTTATATTTCACTTATGCATAAGTAGTCATAAACATGATAAAAAGTCCATTGCAAATGATAATTTTTTGGTTTCATTGATTTTGTTGATAAAATTAAGTTTTCTTGGCAGTGACCATAAATGTCGGTCATATGTGTTTCATAATATTTGTGAAATTTTTGAGGGTATATTGGAATATCCCAGTATACACCATTTATGAAAGAGGTAATTTGCATATTTCTTTTAATCTACTTAATTGGAACACATATACAGACATTGGATGGCATGTGAAAATGTGTGATATTAAAGCAATATGTAAATGCACTGATCTTTGGTAGTAAGGTAAGAAATACTGCTATGTATTAGAGACTGAATGATTACAGTATTCTCTGTAATGAAGTTGAGCATCACAATCTTTTGTTTTCATGCTTGACATAAAATCATTACAAAAGTTTGAAGTCTCTGGCTCTTTTGTGGTGTTTGTGTTGTTTCTTCCCCTGGTGTGAGTGAACGAGCAAGAGTGGACTAAAAAGTGTGATAGAGTTATTGCCCTTTTACAAAATGTATGATTCTTTATATTCAGGTAAAACAAATCTGAGGTATCTTATTTTAGTGTACCGTGATATTAACTATTATTAACTATCTGTCAGTGCACGTGAGATTATGGAATTACTTGAGAGGTTTTAAATGATACAGAATTTTTAAGATAAATGGTGCTTTCCTCATGCTTATAGTTTTACAAAGCCATGGGTCTTTCTTTTGTCAAAAAGAAGGTTAATGAGAAATCACTCAAATCAGTAATCCAATGATATGAAAACATTTTGCATGGAAGTTTCATTAGCAAAACCTTTCATAGCTATCGAGTATTTCTACCACTCACATTTAAAACACAGGGAAACCTTATTACAGACTTAACTTATTTCAACAATATCTTGCATTATACCCCAACAGTAAATTTACAAATATCTTCAGATGAAAAGATATATAGAATATAAAAGAATAAACAGGCCAGAATAGATTTAATAGTGAATGAAATGTGTGATGAATATGAGATGGGGGTACTTATTTTAATTAACATTCACTTGCTTTTCAGGATGTATTAGATTTGTAGATGAATACTTTGAAAAATGTTTGGGTAATGTTTCATATCTAATAAACATTCCCAAATTTTAACAAATGTATTTTGTCTTTTATGAAATGTGTTTTGTTGTTTATTTTTTGCATACAAAAATGGAGGCATAAAGTTCAAGGCACATTGTATTCTGTTTAAAGTCTGTATAAACATCACAAGTCAAGAGTCCTGCAATCAAAATATGTACTCCCGAAAATAAGGCATACATAAGACTGTTTAAAAGAGTTGTACCGTTTATTTTGAATAAAGAAGCTTCTTACATGAAAATGGAATGCTTATGATAAGGAGGCATTGATTCAGATTCTGAAACAAAACTAGATTTACACTCCTCTTTTTTGATGTGATACTTTGAACCCACTATGTTAAGATTACTAAATTTATCAATGACTGGCAATTGACCAGCTTAGGTTTGTAATGGAGAAAACATTCATGGGTAGATGCTGACTTGAAAGCAGCAGTGAAGGTCATTCTTTGGCTTTAGTTTGTATGGATAATTAATGAAAACAATTGGTTTTGCCGAATTCAGAGGACTCTGTCATGTTTTTTTTTTGGGATATGGAAGGGGCTTATAGTGTTGTCATGTCTGCCTTCCATCCATTTTGGTACCTTCCTTCACTCTTTGCAATTAGCCCAGTTTCAAAGAAACTGTTCAAGATATTTCATTATAATTCATACACTGATACATATTGGTGAGACCTTGCTTTTGAACTGTCCATAATTTTTTGACCTTGACCTTCCCTATGTCTCATTTTGTGTTGAGCTCGGTTAAAAATGTTAAATGATTTTTTTTTTTATCGAAATTCATACATGGATGCATATTGAAAAGAAATATTAAGGTCATACGCAACGTACCTTACCTACTGATAATTTTTCAAGATAATCTTAATTTAAGATTATAGTGCCATCAGACGTTCATAGACAAAAAATCAACATGCATTACCAGGGGTTTTGAAAAGATATCAATTGATGAAATTTTTTGTATAATTTAAAGAAAAATACACAAAAATTACTTAACATATATTCTAGATGTTTTGTTTATCCAAACTTGTTTTAAAAGAAGTGTACAACAGCATATATAGACATTCAACTGTAGCACACAGTTCCTTTAATTATTGGAACTCTTCAACTCCAGGGAAAAAGACAATAAAGTTCAAACTACGTTGCGTATGTCCTTAAATTGTGTCATTATTTTTTTACCTTGACCTTTCCTGTGACCTTTACCACCTAACTTTACCTTGCTTTTTTTTTTAGCTAAGTTTTGGAGAATCTAAATGACATATCAAAGCCCAAACACTGAATCATTGGTGAGAACTATTCAATCCTTCATGTTTTTTTTTGTCTTGACTTAGTTTCAAAGAAATTTTTCAAGATATTTTCATCGAACTTCTTACACAAATTGATGAGAGCAATTCAATTTTTTATTTTTACCTTTCCCATGACCTTGACCTCACTATTCATTGTTTTGCATTTAAATTAGTTTCATTTAATGGGTCACATTTCTGACATTGACCTTTCATAAAATCTTGAGTTTCATTTTTAAAGATGATTTATAAATTAAATTTTATATGAAGATACATATTTTTTTTTTACCAAACTTCATTCACTGATAAAAATTGATGAGAGCTGTTCAACTTTGTTAAAAAATTTACCTTCCCTATGACCTTGACCTCACAATTTAATGTTTTGCATTTTACTTGGGTTTCCAAAAAAATGTTAAGATATTTTATTTAAACTTAATATGTTGGTACAAAATGGTGAGAACAATTAATTTGTGTCACAATTTTCTGTTCTTGCCCTTTCACAAGACCTTGAACTTCATTTATCAAGATATTTTCATCAAACTTCGTACAAAAATACACTTTGGTAAGAGCAGTTCAACTCTGTCATAATTTTCTAACTTTGACCTTCCTTATGACCTTGAACATTATTTTTCACAATTTAAGTGCGTATACTAATAGATTTTGGTAATGACAATTGATCTTTGTCATTATTTTCTTACCTTTGCCATCAATTTGACCTTGACTCACTGTTCTTTAGTTTTGTTTTTACCTTAGTTTGAAAAAAAACTATTCAAGGAGAAACAAATCAAATTAACAAACACAACACAAATCAAGTTTCATTTGTTATGCCCCGCCATGAATATGGTCGTGGGCATATAGTGTTTGTCATTTCCGTCTTCCATCCTTTGGTCCTTCTTTCCTTTCATCGTGCTTTGCGTTTAGCTCAGTTCAAAGCTCAGTTTCAAAGAAACTATTCAAGGTATTTTTATCAAACTTCATATGCTAATACATATTGATGAAAACTATTCCACTGCATCAACGTTTTTTGACTTTGACCTTTCCTTTGACCTTGACCCCACATTGTTGATTTAAATTAATAGCTCAGTTTTAAAGAAACCCTTCAAGATAGTCTAATCAAACTTCATATACTGATACATACTGAAGTAAGCTATTCAACTGCATCAACATTTTTTGACCTTGACCTCACTTTTTTAAATTTGTGTTTAGCTCAGTTTTAAAGAAAACATTCAAGATAGTGTAATCAAACTTCAGATGCTAATACATACTGAAGTTAGCTATTCAACTGCATCAACATTTTTGATCTTGACCTCACTTTTCTAAATTACAGTTTAGCTCAGTTTTAAAGAAACCGTTCAAGATAGTGTAATCAAACTGCATATGCTGAAGTTAGCTATTCAACTGCATCAACATTTTTTGACCTTGACCTTTCCTTTGACCTCATTTTTCTTAAATTAGTGTTCAGCTCAGTTTTAAAGAAACCATTCAAGATATTTTTATCAAACTTCATATTCTGATACATACTGATGAGAACTATTCAACGACGTAAACATTTTTTGACCTTGGCATTTCCTTTGACCTTGACTTCACTTTTCTTAAGTTGGTGTTTAGCTCAGTTTAAAATAAACTCTTCAAGATATTTTTATCAAACTTCATATGCTGATACATATTAGTGAAAACTAATCAAATGCATCAAAAACTTTTGACCTTGAACTTTCCTGTGACCTTGACCTCACTTTTCTTGAATTTGCATTTTGCTTAGTTTTAAAGAAACCATTTAAGATATTTTTATGTAAGCTTAAGCACTTTACATAATTTGGCGAGAATTTATTATCTATATCGGTGAGAATTTATTATCTTTATCCAATTTTTTATATTTCAGTTTTAAAGAAACTAATCAATATTCTCATCAAACTTCATACACTAATACAAATTTTCATGTTGCATTACTGTTACTGCCTCATCCACATCAAACATTAATTCCTCAGATTTTCACATTCATCAAACAACAAATTACAAATGTCAGCAAATAAATATCGATTATCTAAGTATACTGAACAAGGAAAATCTTGAAAGCTAACAGAATTTCTATCCATAACAATGTTTTTCATCCATATCTTAAATATGCTGAAAAATTTAAATATATGTTATATAACTAAAGTGTTGAAAATATGATCCACATATAAGATACTTTTCTAATATAAGATTACCTTTTTAATGAGTATCCAAGCTCTTTATGAATATCATACATGTAAGGTGTGATGTAACCAAAAAGTAGGTTACTGCAAATCACTTTTTTTCTAGAACTTAATTTTTGTGTAATTACACCAAATTTTATTCTCAAGCATATTTGTATTGTTAAGGATTATATACAGCAGAAACCACAGCTCACGAGTATTTTGTTCAAAAGCTATCTTGTGAATATAAAGTGTTGCAAAAATATAGCGATCTACAGTATTGTGATCTCTTAGAAGTTTTTGCTAATCAAAATTCAAATCATATCCATATCATATTTAAGAGTGAGATGAAGAAGGGAAAACCTTGATTGTCAAATGATGCATCACTAAATGGAGGGTGTGACAAAACCAATTTTTGGTCAATGTGACCTCGTTTCAGCAATGTTATGGCTATAGAAACAGTATAACAGAAATTTTTATAACCATCTAAATTTGGCATTATTAGTAAAGATCCTGGCAATGCTAAAAGTTAATGTTGCGAATAATTATGGGGGCCGACTGGGGTTTTCATTGCGCAATACTTTGCGCAGCATAGTAAAATAAAGCGTATTTACGCTTTTAAAGCATTCATTTTTGCATAGTTTATAAAAATTAACAAAATTAGGAAATCTCAGGTTAAAAAATCTAATTACCTTTTTAAATAGCTGATTTTTTAACCGATTTTCCAAATGATTGGTAGAAAGACATCGTAATAGTGTGTTTTTGACATTATGAATAACCGAAATTTATCAAGAGGGTCATTAATTATGTCATAAAATAAAAAGTATAAAATAGATGCTCTTGAAATTTTGAACATAGGAAATTGAGAATCTAACAATCATTTTTACCATTTTTTATATAAATTTTTGGTATATGTCATGTTTTGTAGTACTCCTTAAAAACAGGAAAATATCATGAATTTTGACATTTTGAGATGTCCCCTCTGGAAACCAGCCGGTAGAATTTTGTGTTTCTTGCATAAAATGTACAATATAGTATTACTCATCAAATAATAAAATTTGAGCAAAAAGTCTATAGTAGCATTTGTATAATTTGCTCCGAAGTGTGAAAAATTAGTATTTTCCTATGTAATCCTATAGCAAATGTACCTGTATTTTGAGATGGCCCCTAAAAATAACCACACGATAGATTTTCACTAAACTTGGCATGTATACTGACGTCAGTGTAAGGTACATATGGTATAAAATTAAAGAGTTTCTCTATAGTAGTTTTCACACAATAAAACCCCAGTCTGCTCCCTTAAATGACAAATTTTGTCCAAATGAATAAATTGAGAAATCCCAAAAATTTTTAAAAATTAATTAAAGGGTAAATTTGCAAAATGTACCTAGACTAGTAAGTAAAATAATTAAAATAGCCCGCTGTATAGTAGTCGAATAGTGCGTGGATCGTATCTTGCACATTGTGAGACCTTACCTAGGACCATACAATCTTTTTTACATATTTTAAGGGTATGTTGGTCATGACTATTTGTAACTCTACGGATATACATTAATATAGTATCTGGATCATGTATTGCACAGTGTTAGGCATAGAATCGAAAAACCATGTCAGCTGATGAATTTGTAGAAGAATTTGAATCACAGTCCACTTCAGAAGTGTGTCACTGGCCTCATTTTGAAATTCTGTAGCTATGCATAGTTAAATTGTCTTGCACAGGGTCAGACCTAGAACCATTAAACATTTTATAGGTTAAATCAGCCATGGGGTTTGGCTAGAAATCAATTTCTGATGAGCTGTTTCATGTTGGTTATATATTTTGTGCCCTTGTGACTCACTTTGCTCTATTGATATCTTGAAAATACTACCAATCTGTATTCATATGTAGACCTTATACTCAATGTATTAGCAAGCATCATTTCACAGTTTTCTTTCTCTCAGATTAAAGGGGGAGGAGGGCATAAATAAACTGTTTTTAGGACTTTCTTAAAATGTGTAGCAGTTCGGGCTATATGGACCATGGATATTGGCCTGGGTAGCTCAGTGGTAGGGCACCTGACTAGTAATGCAGGGGTCCCAGGTTTGAGTCCTGGTCCAGCCATATATTTATGCCCCCATATAGAAGATTCGGGGGTATATAGTTTTTGCCCTGTCCATCTGTCTTTCTGTCTGTTTGTCCGCAAACTTTAACATTGCCCATAACTTTTGATTAGTGGAAGCTATGGCTTTCATATTTCACATGTGTATTCCTTGTGACAAGACCTTTCTTTTAGTACCATCATATTTGACCTTGACCTTGGCATTTGACCGATTTTTGCAAAATTTTACTGAATTTTAACCTTGGCTATAACTTTTGAAAGGTTGGTGCAAGGGTTTTCATACTTAACATATATAATCCTTGTGACAAGACCTTCCTTTGGATACCAACAACTTTGACCCTGACCTAGGAGTTTGACATACTTTTGAAAAACTTTAACCTTGGCCATAACTTTTGCACGGTTGATGCTAGGACTTTCATACTTAAGATATGTAATCCTTGTGACATGACCTTCCGTTCATGGTAGCTCAGTTGGTAGAGCACTCTCACTCTGTGATCGGGAGGTCGTGAGTTTGAATCTCAGCCATGACTGACCTAAGTCGATAAAAAATGGGTAGCAACTGTTCCTTCCCCATGCGCTCGACACTTGAAGTGAAAGTTGTGAGTCCTTCGGATAAGACCTTAAAAACTGAGGCCCTGTGTCAAGGCAGGCGTTGGCACAATAAAGATCCCTCACTGCTCAATGGCTCAGAGTGCTGAGTAAAGGTCAAAATTTGAAGCCCTTCACCGGTATATGGTGACCTCTCTATATGAATGAGAAATTCTCGAACGGGACATAAAACAACATACAATCAATCAATCAATCCTTTGGATACCAACAACTTTGACCCTTTGACCTTGGACTTTGACACACTTTTGAAAAACTTTAACCTTGACTTTTGAACTGTTGGTGGTAGGGCTTTCATATTTAATATGTCTTTTCCTTGTGACAGGACCTTCTTTTGGATACCAACAATTGTCATCCATTGACCTTGACATTTTAGTGTGACATACTTTTGAAAAACTTTAACCTTGGCCATAACTTTAGAACGATTGGTGCTACGGCTTTCATATTTCACATGTGTATTTCTTGTGAGAAGGCCTTTCCTTGGGCACCATTAATTTTGACCATTTGACCTTGATGTTTGACTTACTTTTGAAAAACTTGAACCTTTTCCATATCTATTCAATGGTTGGTGCGAGGGCTTTCATATTTCACAGGTATATTCCTTGAGCCTAGACCTTACTTTGGATACCAATATATTTGATTTGCATTTGAGAAAGTTTAAACTTTGCTATAAGTTGCCATAGGGGGGCATCAGTGTTTCACAAACATGTCTTGTTTCTTTATGCATTTCTTCTCTCCAGTTACAAATGATTGCAAGCAGGACTAATTGTCAAAATAATTTTATGAATCTAACAATTAAGTTTTGGAGATTAAAAAAGTGATCCAAATGCATCACTAATACAATTAAAATGACTGGTGTCATTAGACATGTATATCACTGCAGATCACAAAATTTACAGAATACCATTCCCATTACTTAATCTTGATGCGAAATGTTCTTTTCAGTTGAAAGCGAAGAATTTTGAGAGAGTGGAAAAGGTGAGGATCATTTGATTTTGTTATTAAACAAATTAAAGAACTTAAATTGGTTCAAAAACCATGTTCTAAAATTGTTTTATCCATTTTCTATCAATGGTAAACTGAAGCAAATTATTGTAATATTACTGTTTGTAAATATACAATCTTGTTAACAAACTTTTTATGATTTACTTTCACTCCTCTCTTAATTTCACCTGTCTAATATCAACCAAGCTTGCTGTGAAATATTTAAAGGTTTTCCTAAGGGAGATAATAAAGGAATGCTCTGAAATATAGTATCATTTACATACTTTCTCTTGAGCCACTTCACTAGAAATGCTTGAACTTTTAAAAAAAAAGTAAAATTTGTAATGACCAACACATGTTTGATGTACCCACAATGCCAATTTTGCATTGGATTTATTAGAAGAAAAAAAAAAATCTTCATTGCACATAAAAAAAAAACTCAACGGAGAATATTCCTACATTATATTAGTATTCAAATCATGAAACAAATCCCAGGGAGGGGGCCACAGAATGGTTATAATTTTTTTTAGAATGGGGGGATCTCTTTAAAGAGTTTTCAAGAATGGGAGGATAAAGTTTTAATTCATGTAGCTCAATTTTATTAACAGACATATTTTCATGTAGTATATTCAGGAATGAAACCTTATTTAGTAACATCCTCAAGTGCATAGTTTAGGATCTCCTTAATTCAAATGACACCCTCTTCACTCCCCCTCCTCTCCTGTGAGCTAGAGGATATAGTACTTAGCATGAGACCAGGGTTTCAAACTTGAGGAATATGTTTGTATAATAAGAGAAAAATTCTGTTAAAACCTTCTGTTGAAGGACAAATTGTAACTTGCCTCATGTAGTATTAGTTCACTTCAAGATAGTTCAAATCATGGCCTTGGTGCTGAAAAACCTACCCTTAGAATGTTAATTGATACAAAGGAGTAAAAAAAAAAAGGGGGGGGTATCAGATAATATAATCTATCAGATATTATATAATATATCAGATAATGCATGGCAAAAAATGTTGCTGCATAACATTAAAGTGATTGTCAAGATTCATAGGCTCTTGTGAGAAGTATCGTTCTCATAAATATGGATGTAGATGTTTTCAGAAACCTAACTCATATTTAACAGTTTTTTGGAAAAGCTCATTAAAAATGTTGTGAATGTATACTTATATATTACAGATCTTACTCAGTAATGCATGTACTTTAATATCATTTTTTTTGTAGCTGTTCCAAAGATGTCTTGTGAAAATTCTGAACATAGATCTCTGGAAATTGTATCTCAATTACATCAAGGATACAAAAGGAAAACTGCCTTCTTACAGGTGTGTGAAATCCATCTGTTTTTTTTTTTTTTATAAAAAATTTTCATGTGTGTGAACTCAATCTTTTAGTAGAAAAAAAAGATGGATAAATATAATACTGTATACAATTATTTTAAGCTGGAATAATACTGAATGTCTCCATTTTCAGAGAAAAGATGGCCCAGGCTTATGATTTTGCTCTAGACAAAATGGGAATGGATATAATGTCTTACCAGATCTGGGTTGACTACATTAACTTCTTAAAATCAGTGTAAGTTATTCAACAATACTTGTACTTAATAAAATTTTCCCTTTCAATTTTTTTTTTTTTGAAAATAAGTTTTTTTATGTTCATTGGATGACTTTTGACGAAGTGGGTCATATGTTTAAGGTAATGTGATGTACTATAATGATAATTTCAGTGAAGCTGTGGGCTCTTATGCTGAAAACCAACAGATAACAGCTGTACGGAAAGTATTCCAGAGAGGCGTGGTCAATCCTATGATAAACATAGAGGGGCTGTGGAAGGATTATTGTCAGTATGAACAGGTAACTAAACAATTATTGAATTAAAGAAAAATTATGGACATAAGATTTTGTTAGTTTTTAAGACAAAAAAAGCATTAAATACTGTAAACCAGCTATTATTTGCATCATCTTTTTTTTGCGAATGGACTGCCAGGAATTCATCCATGATTGTTAATTTCCACGATTGAGAAAATACTGTAGATCACATTTTATTTGCGCGAACTTTATTTTTGCGTAATTACACGAGACTGTCTGCTCGCGAAAATTTTAATTCTCGCATGTATTTGTAGTACAAAAGATTAGCAAAAACCAGAGTTCATGAAAATTATGTCTTGCTTTTAAATACCAAATGGCCATCTCGTGAAATTTAAGAGTTGTGAAAATTTGTTGATCTACAGTATGAAACATAAATACTGGTACACAAAAGAATAATAGGTTCAAAACCAAGAAATATTCATGAGCAAGATAAGGTCCTGAAACTTGCAGATTTTTCTCGCACGCGAATAAAATTTGGTTTATAGTATTGAGAGACAGCAAATGTTGATTACTCTTTATATCAGAATATGGCATTTATAAAGCATTAAATAATGAAGTTTACTATATCACTGCAGAGTATAAATCCATTAATTGCTAAGAAGATGACAGAAGATCGAGGACGAGAATACATTAATGCCAGAAGAGTGGCCAAAGAGTATGAGGCCGTCACAAGGGGGCTGAATAAGAATCTCCCTTCTGTACCCCCACAGAATAACCCAGACGAGGCTCAGCAGGTAAAAAAGTGACATAATGTGAAAAAAAAATGCCAAGATAGAATCTGTTGGGATTTATTTTAATACAAAATATATTTAACAAATGCAAAGTCCATGGGCAATGAAGACTGGACTATATATATACATATAGATATATATATATATATATATATATATATATATATATATATATATATATATATATATATATATATATATATATATATATATATATATAAGCTAAGCTACATTAATGCCAGTTTTTGGAATGTAACAGGGCAACAAAAAGCTCTGAAGAGCTATTGACCATAACCTTTCAGCATGAAATATTTGATTAATTATAGAAAAGATTTATGGATTTTTCAAAAGAATGGTTTGAAATATTAGACAAATCAGGAAGAAGTTGTAAAAATTTTGTGATTTTAAATTCTTTTCCAATTTCAGGTAGAATTATGGAAAAAGTACATTGCTTGGGAGAAAAGTAACCCTTTGAGGACGGAAGACCATGCCCTGATCACTAAGCGAGGTAGAGAGAGAGCCCAGGACAGCAGATAGTCTGTCTCCATTGGAAGCTTCCACCTCAAAGCTTAATGCTTCTCTTGTTTCATTTTGTTTTTGTATGGAGCAGTGCTTTTTTTAATTGCTCATTTGTGATGCTGAGACTGGTGTTTCTTACTTGTAGGGCTTACAGTGTTAAAAATATTTGTTATAAAAGTCTGATACGTTTTTTATTAGTTCCCTACCCACGAGATCTTAAGAGACATAAAAATGATGTGCTGTTAAAAACACACATATTTCTCAGTTACAAGCTGTTGTGCCTTTAATTAACTCATGTTAGGATTGTTGTTGTTATTTTTTTTCTGAAAATATTTTATGGAGCTGTCATTTACACTCATAAATGACGTAATTTTTCATTTAGCAATGAAAACAATCAGATTTTATGTACTGGTATGTATATACAAGGATGGCTCAGATTTAATTTAAGGTGGGATTTCTTAAAAGTTTGTGAAATTTGATTTAAGGTTATCATAATAGAAGATATTATGCATAACAGAGATTGCTAACAAGCTAGCACATGTTTATTTTTAGGAAAAAGAAGCTTTTTGTAGAAAAAATACACAGCTTTGTCTCATTGTAGTTCTGTATTTTATTAGTAATGATTGTTTTGTACTGATTATACAGTAGTGGACTTTTGTTTTCCAGTGATGTTTGCCTATGAGCAGTGTCTCCTGTGTCTGGGACATCATCCGGATATTTGGTACGAGGCGGCTTCTTATCTGGAACAGTCCAGCAAAATCCTGACAGAAAAAGGGGTACTTTATTTTTTATACCAACATCCTGTTATAAATTCAGTTTAAGGTGAATATTCCCAGTAAATCTTAACCTACAATGTAGGTTTATAAGTTGAACATTTACAATAAAATTAAATCTGATGTAATGTAGAGTAATTATCTACAGTGATCTGTGAAACATACTATTGTATAAATGTGTTAACTTTTTCCTTGGTTACCTTTTCTTAATTTGGATCTAAATGATGGAATTAATTTTTTTAGTCATAAAGAAGTACATGTGTAAAAGGTCTCTTACAGACAGTTTAATGAACATTGCAAACTATTTGAATCATGAATCTCATTGAATTCCTCATTCATGTCAAATGGTGATTTGTTACCAGTGGATATTATTGTAAACCAACTTTTATTCGTGTGTGAGAAATATCCATGACTTTCATGACCTACTTTAACTCACAAATATTAATCGCCGCAAACCAAATATTTTGCTATGTATTTGTAAAGAATGTTTCCTCAGTCAGGAAAATCAGATAGATTTCAAACTGACAAATCGCGAATAATGGTTGGTTTACAGTAATCAGTTTATCACTCTTCACTGAGGGGAGATGATCATTAAAAGAATTTATTATGATATTCATATTATTTTATGCCTTTTGCATTGGCAGGACCAGAATGCTGGTAAAATGTTCGCAGATGAGGCGGGTTCTATCTATGAGAGAGCTGTAACTACTCTGATGAAAAACAACATGCTGGTTTACTTTGCTTATGCTGATTTTGAGGAGGTATAGATTTCATTGAGAGTATGAACTAACTCAGATGGAAAGAATGTACAGAATCTAGTTAAAAATTAACATATATCATTGCATTCTTTTTCACATCTCATTTTGTTGATTCCTTGCTCAATATATCCTTTTGTTACTGAACAAACTAAAATTATTAAGCTTTTAAAACAGCGAAATGACCATTGACTGTTCTATTTTACAGAGTAGAATGAAATATGAGAAAGTCCATGGAATATATAAAAAGCTACTAGATGTTCAAGAAATAGATCCTACATTAGTAAGTAATATTACATCAGACATTTCAATAAAGGTATATATCAAACTGAACTGTACATCAAACTGAAGATCGTAGTTCAACTCTCTGTTCTCAAATACATGTACATACTCCTGAGGCCTGTTGAACAGAGCGGACATTCGCGAGCACTCGCCACAATTCCTTATCCCTCCAACAGAAAGGTTCATGAGTACTCGCTCAGTTGAACAGGCCTCTGTTCATGCAGTTGATTACAAACTGTCTAATCTGACACCTGTGCAGTCAGTTTCACTGTGAATTTCTACCTTTATTTTCATTCACACCTTATTTATTTCCATTTTTTCACTTTTTGCAATTCAGTACCCTGTCTATTCTGACATGAAAGTGTCCTAGAGCGTGTCACCAAGTATCAAATTCTTATTCTTTTAGGCATTCATACAGTACATGAAATTTGCCAGAAGAGCTGAGGGTATAAAATCAGCCAGACAGATTTTTAAAATGGCTCGAGAGGAGAATCGGACTCGGTACCAAGTGTTCGTAGCTGCAGCACTTATGGAGTATTACTGCAGTAAGGTAGGTAGTGTCAGGTGATCATGTTCAGATTTTTTAATGACATGATGCAAACAAGTATAAGGACACTTATTATAAATTGTTCCTATATAATTGTGCAAATAATAATATTTGGTTTAAGGGATATGCAAGTATACATGTAATTGTTGATTTACTTTTAAATTGATTTCAGGAAAAAACTGTAGCTTTGAAGATATTTGAGCTTGGGTTGAAGAAGTATGGAGGGATCCCAGATTATTTATTATGTTACATGGATTTTATGTCCCATTTAAATGGTAATTTTATCAGGCATTGGAAGATTTATACAAGTTGATTTATTTACATTTGAAAGGATTTTGGAGAGTGGGGATTTTGATATAAACTATATTCATTTTCATACCCCCCTCCTTTTAATTGGGAGGGGTAAATATGAATTCATCTGTTTGCTCTTTAAACTTTGGATATAATTCATTACTGTTTTAGTGAGTGATGTTACAAGCTTATTCTTATTAAAAGGGTTGCATAAAACATTCAGGGGTCATGACCTTATCCAAGGTCAATATGACAAAATCAAGGTTCTAAAGATAAACAGTATAAAATAAATTCTCATATACATAGTGATATATAGGGAAAAAAGTTGCTAAAAATATTTCAGCAACAACAATATTCAAATTTCCCTTTATTTGCATATATACATAATCCATATACAGTGTATATGTATAGAGTTTAAATAAGATTTTATGCAAGTCATAGTCAATGAAGTCAAGGGGTGGGATGCAGTAAGATTTAAAGAGTTAATTAAATAGGATAGAGAAAGAGAAAGAACTGTTTGACACAAGTGAGTGTTGTGAAGTGTTAGTCTCTTGTTTTATAGTAGATACTGTTACAATATACACCTTGCATTGAATAAAGGACAGTATTTATTTTGTAGAGGATAACAATACTCGAGTCCTATATGAGCGAGTTCTCTCCTCGGGACAGGTGCCTCCTGAGAAATCAATAGAGATCTGGAGTAGATTTCTGGCTTTTGAGTCTGAGGTGGGAGATCTAGCTAGTATACAGAAGGTAGAGAAGAGGCGAGCCCAAGCCATTGAAAAGGTGAGTGTGTCAGTTCACTCAGAACAGGTGCTTTGTCATGGCTTGCAGAAAAAGAACTTATTTCTATTGCATATTATATATGTGTATGTTATATAGAAGTCAGAAATTGAAATAAGTACACTTGTATATTATGTTACTTTTTTGAAGTTAGCTGAAAGTTGATGAAGTTTTGTACAAAAAAAATTAAGTCTGATGATTTAGAGAAATTTTGTATTATTTTATTGTTTGCAGGTTCAAGAGTTTGAGGGGAAAGACACAGCCCTATTAATAGACAGATATAAGTACCTAGATCTTTACCCTTGTACTACTACTGAGCTGAAAGCAGTTGGATACTTCGTAAGTAGGCAGTTTCTTTTAAGAACTTAAGAAAGAGTAAGATTTTTTTCATTTCATTTTAAATTTTTAGTGAAGCATACATTTACAAAACTTGAACATGTATGTTACAAGGAGCCATGAACCCTTTATCAAAATTCTTAAAACTGTCCCATGAGTCCAGGCTCTGGATGGGGCAAAGTTTATCATGTATTTAGAATGCATTGTATCTTTAAGCTTCTACTGAGCTTTGAGAAGACCAACTCTATAGTCTGTGGTAATGAAATAGGAGTTATCTATTAGAGTTGTGAAATTCTTGTCAAGTGGATTCAAGAGCTCTTGTCCAGAATGTGAGTGTGTGTGTGTGTGTGGGGGGGGGGGGGGGTCTATTGATAATATAGTGAAATTGTGTGAATTCTTTAAAAAATCTTCAACTAATTGCATAAACATGATGGTGAGGGTTCCTCTTCCAAATTTGTAAATTTCATGACCCTGGTTCATGGCTTCTGGTGTTAGGGTAAGGTTGTGTTAAATCTGTAGTGAAAGTGCATTATTTCTTTGAAAATCTTCTCTGCTCCTGGGCATATTGGAGGCAAACAGAGGAAAATTTTTAATAAGCAAGGGTATTTTTACCAGAATTTTGAACTTCTGGACCATTTAGTTAAGTGTTCTGGTCCTGGCTAGGGCTATATTGATTTGTATTCTACTGAGCGAAGTTATTCCCCTTTGCCATTCACATTTGATAATCAATCACTGTAAATAATGTACATGTATTTGAAAGGTTAATAGAATAAAAGAATTACACAAGAACAGTTATTGCATAATACAAAAAGTATTTTCATAGTTTTATGATCAGGTAGACTTTGAAATAATAGATGAAAAAAAAATGAGACAAAAATAACTTATTTTTTAAATGTTCCTCAAAGGCCAAGAGAGGCCAATGTGAGAGGTCACAATATGGGGTCAAAAATAGATATTTTGTTAATAGTCTTCATGGTAATAGCGATAAATTGGGTAAAGATTATATTTTGTTGATCCTAATCATACTACCGTATATACCTGCCTATAAGTCGGTTTTTTGGGAGTTAAATTTTGGTATATAAATATAAATATTTTATAAACATTTCCCATGATTATCGTTGAACAAAGTCAGGATATACTATATCATTTATGTATTCTAAGATAATACATAGGGTACAAGTACTTACATATTTTAATAACTTTATTTTTATCTAAAGTGTGCATTATGTATTTTTCTTTATGATTTAAAATTAAATATCGGCGTCATTTCTAAAAATATTAATCGAAACCAGGTTAAAACATTAGAGCATTGATTTGAAATAGTCAACCAATTCTGGCAAAAAAAAATGTACCGACATATAAGCGGGTAAATGGCAAATCCCTCAAAAATTACCTAAAAAAATACAACCGACTTATAGGCGGACTGACTTATAGGCGAGTTTATACGGTATTTTTCTTGCTTTTGGGCAACAAAGCTTCATTTATCAGTTTATGGATCCTCTAAATTATTGTACTTGTTTTATTTCCCCATCCCACCCTTAGCCACAATACAAAAAGAAAGAAAGAAGGGGAAGAAAAAATGACTCCCCCTCCCCCAAAGGAATTTGATGTGGTTGGAAAACCCTAGCATGCTAATTTAGCACAGGCTTAAGTATTATTGTCTCCAGTGCCCTAAAGCAAATGCATTCTACATAAATCAAAATGTTTTAGACAGATAGAATGAATTTTCAGCATTTATGTTTATTACATAAATTTTATATATCATACATAAGGATTTAGCCCGGCAGCAAGTGGTAACTCTTCCATCAGCATCTGTCACTAAAGTGGTTCTGGAAGACGAGGAGAGTAAAAATAAGCCACAGTATCCCAAACCAGATGTGGAGCAGATGATAGCCTTCAAACCCAGGCAGATTGTGGGTAAGTATCTTTTACAACAGAATATTTATTGACAATGTAATGGTGACAATATACTGAAGTGACAGTGTACATGTATATAATTTTCTTTGGTTCCTTTAGTTTTAAGGAATGAAGTACACATTTCTGATGTAATAATGTTTTATTTTGACAGCTGTTGGAGCCCATCCTGTTCCTGGAGGGGAATTTCCACCCCCACCTGCTGCTGCTAGTCTCATATCACAATTACCTCCCCCTGACTGTTTTCATGTAAATACAATTTCAGTTGATATTTCATCTATTACTTCTTTTTGAAAAATGAAATTATAAGGATATAAAATTATGAATCTAGTTAGTACTGAGAAAAAAATTGTTAGTGTTTATGATTTATGTGCAATGCAATATGATATACTTTTTTTTCAGGGTCCATTTGTTCTAATGGATAAGTTTATAGAGCATTTTAACAAGCTGGTACTACCTGAAGGTAAATATTTATCTATTTTTTTCATGTAAATTATATACAGCAAGAGAGAGAGAGAGGGGGTGGAGAGAGAGGGGGGATGGAGAGAATACTGTAATATATGTAGTTACTTGTTGGCCTTTTCAGTGATTGATTTAAGAAAGGAAACTGGTAATACTTATAGAAGAGATTTGTTTTTTAGAGAAAAGTATATTACAAGATAGAGGGTTGTTGTTGTTGTTATTACTTTTATCTATCTTCACACTATAGTACAACTGTCTAGCTAAACAATTCAGGAAATAATACTTGATATCCATGAAAAATTTTGCTTTAATCATGGATCTAAGGTACCATATATACTCGCCTATAAGTCGTTTTTTTGGGAGTTAAATTTTGGTCCAAAAGATTAGTATTTTTCTAATTGTAAAATAGTAATTTATAAAGATTTCCCACGATTATCGTTGAATAAAGTCAGGATATATTATATCATTCATGTATTCTAAGATTATACATAAAGTACAAATATTAACATATTTTAATACCTTTTTTTTTTATCTTAAGTGTGTATTATGTATTTTTCTTAATGATTTAAAATTAAATTTCTAAAGAATATTAATCGAATCCAGGTTAAAACATCAGAGCATTGATTTGAAATTGTCTACTGATTCTGGCAAAAAGTTGTACCGACTTATAAGTGAGTCAGTGGCAAATCCCTCCAAAATAACTTTAAAAAAATACAACCAACTTATAGGCGAGTATATACGGTAATTAATGCAAGGATAGAATTGACTGTTGATAAGTATATGGAGCATTTTATGTAAATCTTCTTCACTCCTCCCAATATTTCAGTGCTAAAAACTGTGCTAGGTAGAATAACCTGAAATAGAGTCTTCAAAGAACAACTTCTGGCTGATGTTTGATTTGATGGAACTTGTGTTGTAGCACCTGTTGGGACAGAAAATGGTATTGATGGCACATTCAAGCTTGACCCCGGGACCCAGCTCTCCATTGACTTTGCTTTAGGAAGAAAGCGGAAGGTCACGGAGGGGGAGGATAGTGATGAGGAGGGGTCAGAGGTCACAGCCCCACCTGTACATGACATTTATCGTAGTCGACAACAAAAGCGAGCAAAATAAATTTGCGGATCCCGCTTCCTGCCAGAGATTTTTTTTCATATTGAGACCAAGAGTGATAATTGCAGAGAATGAGACTGTTTAGAAAAATATTTTGTTGTGTCTAACTTCTAGACACTATTGTTTTTAACTAGTGTGAAATTCTGTTTAACAGAATTACTGTTAATTGGTATAATGAATCATGTCAAGTGCCACCATTCAATCACCGAATAATAATGATCAGTAAGAGGCACATTTTAAGAGGGTTATAAGAATTTTTGTGACTTTTACTATTTTCTTTTTAACAACAAGTAGGAATGAATTATTTGTTCAGTTTGAACTAGGAAATTTCTTGTTGTATAGATCCATTGTGATTTGTGAAAATGTACGAATGTAAAGGTACAGCTTGCATTACTGACTGCCCATTGATGGAAGATTAATGTTGCAGAACCTGTGTTGTGCATGAATTTCAAAAAGTATTTAGGTCAAGCATTTGTGAGGTATTTTTTTCTAACGTGTCTACATTTCTTTCATTCTCAAAGGGAGGGGCAGTTCATCCGTTGTCATGTTCCATCATGCATCTTCACATATTCACTTACTAGTAATAAAAAAACTAAAATACTACAGCTGTACTTTATTTGCTGAAAATATTTGTGAACAAGTGCTTTAAGACAATTTGATTTAAGGACAGCTGATACATTCCTCAATAATATGTAATTTTTCCCAAGATTTTGTCACTGAAGTATTGCTACTTTAACATGCTTCTTCACAAAAAATTGAGGTACCTTTAGGCTTACCAGACATGCAAAATACAAATGGATGGTGTTTCTTATATAATCCTTTTGAAATAACTTCAATTGCCAATTCCAAAATTTTTAGCCTTTTGATTTTTTAACTTTAGACTATCAGAAAACCAGTTTAGAAATCAGAAGATAATTAAAATTTTTGATATTTTTGTACATTACAAAAAGATACAAAACAGATATTTGAAGAATGTATCGTCCGACCTTAAAGATGCATACCACAAACAAATTTTCTTATCTCCAACACAGAAGAATTACACTGGCATTTTTTTCAATATTTCTTTCAATGGAAATGTAATTAAAAAAAATTTATTTGTGTAAAATGTTAAAATACACTCTTAAAAAAAACATCCCCAGAAACTTTGCAGTAATAAAACTTCATACACTTCTAAAACTTTTCAAAAAATATATTGAGCTGTAAAGTTGCATTTTTGCACTTTTCACCAAATTCTGTGGCTTGGCCAAACATCAAGCTGTTTATCTAAACAAATATCACTTCTTAAGTGAGAGAGGCACATATTTTAGCAAAAATATTTGACTTTTGGGAGAAAAAAAATTGTTTGTGTTATTTATCCTTAAGTTTAATATATGATTTTCTCCATTTTTTTTAAAAAAAATTTGACACATGAATTACAAAAGCTTGCTGGTAAACAAAGAATTTATAGATATCATCAAATACTTCAAGTGGCTATTTGTCCAGTAACAGGTGAAACTTTCTGAACTCATACCCTTCATCTTGCATGAAACCTGTTTTAAGGTTCATTGACCACATAAGAGAGATAACTCTCACTGGGATAAATAGCTATATTGTTTTTTAAGAATAAAGTCAAGTTTAAAGACTTTTTTTTTCATGTTTTGTCTCACCAATACGGAAGCGTATTGGTGCTATGTATTTTTTTTTAAAAGTTCATAATTCCAACTTTTAAAGTTGGTAACTCAACTTTAATTTTGTCTTTTCCAACTTTAAAGTTGGTAATTCTAACTTAAGTCTTGGCTTTTTCAACTTCAAAGTTTGGAATTCCAACTTTAAAGGTGGATTTATCAACTTTAATCTTGGCTTTTCCAACTTTAAATTTGGTAATTCCAGCTTTAAAGTTAGTTTTTCAAACTTTATTTTATTTTAGCTTTTCTAATCTTTTCTTTAGTTTTTTTTTTCTTCATTTAATATGATTATCAACTTCAATAATGCAAACTTAATACACTGAAACTAATTGTTGAGCAATTAAATTGTGTGAATTATTTTTTTACCTTCATCTTCACTATGACCTTACATATAACTTCCAACTTTAAAAGCTCATATATTTCACTTGGGCCATCTCATATAATTATATAGAGGATATATAGTAACTTCATACAACTGTAAAGAGAGCATTTCAACCATACCTATTTAAAAGATCTGACATGTATAATTTTTTTGAGAATGAGTTTAAACAAATGAAATAATATTAGGTGTATGGTTTGTAAGATGAATCAACACTATTTTTCAAGTAACAAAGACAATTAACTGAACATAATGAATCGATTCTGTATATGAAAATGCAACAAAATTTATTCCTTCTTTCATCATAATCATGTAAAGAAATTGTTTATTTCTACTGTAATGATAAAACAGCAGCTTGAGCCCAATGAACTACAAAGTATACTAATAAAACGTACAAAGCCCAAAAAAAGTTAGAAAAGCCAATTTTAAAGTTGGAAAAGCCAACTTTAAAGTTGAAATTAACAACTTAAAAAAATTACATGACAATACGCTTCTGTACACAAAATATTTTGAAATCGTGTTTTTTATTCGTAAATTCGATTTCTTTGAAAAAAAATCGTTTAGCAATAGCGATAAAGCAAAATTTTATATGAAACAGTTTGAACTGAGAAATGATGAACGTTAAATCCTATTCATACCAGAAATTGTAAACTGTTAGAGTTGTCCAAGAAGAACGCAAACTTTTAAAATATTGCAAAATTATTCATATTTTTCACACTGTTGGGAAATGATGCTTTCGTTACTTTGACACAATATTATGAGTTTGTAATGTCAAATGCTCGTGGGAACGGCAATAAAGGGGTGCTCAATGCCGATGGTCGTTTTTTCCTCTTTTTCTAAAAAAACATTATCAGCGATGTTTTATTACCAGATTATAAGGAAATATAATGTGTTACTTCGATAAAAAAAAAAACCCTCTTATGATCTTAGGTATTTGTGTGAGAAAATTTATTAAATATGACGACGTCGGGCGATAATGCGGCCCACCAAATTATCATTCAGTTCTATGTTAGTCGGGGTAATGGTGGAAGTACACAAACGTATCCCGAACACTAGTTTATACCTGACAAAAGAGGTTCAGGAATGACTGGATTATCATATGAAAGAGGCGCTTAGTAGACAAAAGATGATAAATGAGAGCCGGGCGCTAGACGATGAGACCGTCGTTTAACTACTAGTATTCGAAAAGTTCGGATCGGGGGAGGAGGGAGGGATTGTCTATTCGAAGAATTGAATTGATTACTTAATGTGTGCAATGGGTACATCAGTTACTAACTGAAAATCAAATGTAGTGTACAATCGCTGCTTTAAACGAAGTTTTAAAAATTTCTAAAGGTAAGACGCACAAATTCCTGAATAATTGAAATCGCAAACGCTGCGAACTATGTTTTGACATCAGCGATGTTAAACCGACTGTATTATATAAGGGTCCGTTTATAGTGATTTTTTTTTTTATTAAAATTTGAAGAAAAAAATGTTGATGGTGGTGCATGCCATATTTAACTGTAATATATTCGTGAAACATAAAATAGATGAGAAATGATAACTTTTTTTCTGGGACAACCTGTTATAATACATGTACTGGACAATTAAAATGCATACTATGTATGATCCTAACTATCCTTCCGTATTCGGTAAACTGGAAGTGATACAAGAATTAGGATCACTTTTATCGTCGCATATTACCATCATTTCCCTCCAACAATCAAAGGTATAATATGCCTAAAATTACAATGGTTGTTAAATCATGAGTAAGTTGGTAATGATCAAGTTTTCAAAGTATTTTTTTTTTCACAGTCGATGCTATTCAAATATAACCTTCTTTAATACAACCGTTTTTATTACTTTAAGAACTCATTTGTTTGCGCACTGAAGCCATTCTTTGTCGTGTAGCTTCTTGGATATTGCTGATTTTTAAAAATTTCCTCACGAATTCAACAAACTTAAATGAAATCTGTAAACTCTTACAAATGTCCCCCATATCTCTGGACCGTAGTCCTTTATTTATCAGTCCATCGAGTGCTCCAGGTTGATCAAATGCTTGCTGGTAAGAATCTAACGCTTCATGTAGCTCCCCAACAACTTGCTGACAGATGCCTAATATCTGCCATGATATTTCTCTGAGAATTTTAGGTATGTTTTTGTTATCGTCAGAGTGCAGTAGGGTCTGTAGGTCTGTCAGTGACTGTTGACACAGAGACTTATTGCCCAGTCTGTGGAGACACAGTACAGACAGCATATGTGTCAACACTAGAGGAGGAACACAAAACATATTTACTCCGCTTTTCTGAGTGGCCCTTTGTTCCAAATTAAATTCATCTATGTACTTAAAGCATGACTTAATCGTAACATCTCTTGCCCAGGCATTCCTCATTTTTGTTGACAGCGATTGCCCTCCCATTAACTTACAGTATATCTGCTCGTCTACTTCACGTTTATACATGACAAAGGGTTGCGAGAGCTTCTGTCTGGCTATGTCAAGGACAACTAACGCTCTTTTATATTTACCAATGTCATATAGGTACATTGCCAGATGAAGTTTATCCGAAACGAAGCCTATTTTTGAAACTAGGGTAAACATTTGAATTATTGACCTATTAATTTGATAATAAAGTTTATTTTTGGTCCTGCGTGCACATTTCCATTTTAAAGACATGCCAACTGCTATAAGCACATCTACTACATTTAACTGAAAAGTAGTTCTGTGATTAAATTGTGAAAGATTTCCAATTGTTTCCAGATATATCTTAATCTTTTGAAAATCTGTACAAATGAAATCAAGTCCTGATAGCGTCATCTCTTTCTGAAGAGCAATGTCTATATCTAACTCTGACTTGATGTTACTTTTAAGATACAGAGCAGAAAGAGCCGGGATAAGGATTTCTCTGAGAAATGGACTCTGAAGAAGACAGGTCACATCCATTGTGTATATCTTTTCTAGCTTTTGAAACAAAGACATCTGTTGTGGTCCTACAACTTTTCCTAGGAACATGTTGTTTTCTGGTATGAAGAAATTTGGTAGACATCCTGTATGCACGGAGTGCACTAGAAACTTAAAGCATATCCAGAAATGCCGAAGTAACGTATGAGGAGCCCAGGGTATGTAGATATTGTTCTGTAACTGCCAAAACACAAGAGTTTTCATGAAATACGAAGACAGCAAATCGTCCCGAATGGTCTCTTTCAGAAATATTTTCAACAATCCGTAGCAAAGAAACTGTACATGGTTCATATGGTATACAAGTCTTCGTTCCGCGCGTGCAAAAGAAATTCTCCATTCGAAATCCCCAAAATCGTTTGGCTGCTTACTTTCTATTGGGACAAGGTGGCATCCTTCACTGAGAAACTTTTGTAGCAGGTTGTATCTATTTATTGAATTCAAAGCTGCTGAGGGCCAGTCTGGGGAGTAAAAACAAAGTGCAAAGTCGCTTTCAGTTGTAAACACCGTGCAACTGTAACATGGACCGTGCAAGATTTCCTTTTGGACATGTGGATCGAGTCCGCAGAATTTTTTATACCACAAGCTCCTGAACAAAAAACTTGATATATAAACGACATTGTGAATACTTGCAAGTGAAGAGTTAATAATTAAGTTTCTAGAGGGCGTAAGTAACTTCAAGCGAGCATAACCACCTGGGGTATCAGAAGTATCCATGAAAATGAGTGTGTCTGTGGATGGATGATGAATCACAGACTGAGACATATCACATAGCACTTTATGATCACATGACCAGGCCATCTTATCTCGGTCAGATGATTTAAATCTAAAACCTTCCCCGTAACTTCCGCCATCCGTAGTTCTCAATCCTTGAGAAATCTGCAGAGGTTGTTGTATCATCTCAGACATAATTAGGACTTCTCTCCTGACTCTTACCTCTTCTGGTGTTCCTATCTTATAACACAATCCCGCGTACAAGACCTCTGAAACGCCGCTGTGGTCCATTCCGATTTGTGGAAGTGCATACGCAGCAGAGTCCCCTTCTTTCACAGGAATTATAGTTCAAACGGTACCCAGTCAAAACGGCACTTGGTGAAAACGGCACCTAGTATATGCAAAACAGCAAATGTTGAAAACGGCACTTGGTTAAAATGGCACTCAGTAAAAAAGGCACTTTTGACATATTACGTTATGTGTATGAAGTTTCTCAGTATTTTTATTGTTTCTATATGTAAATATGTATATCTCCTTTCACAGCTCATCTAAACCTTTAGCAAATCACAAAAAAAAAAAAAAAAAAAAAAAAAAAAAACGATCATTCAAATGATGTAATACATGTATATCGATTTCCCTACACATTTTCGACCAGTTTTATTTCTAATCATCTAAAATCATAACCAGGAAGTTCAAATATCTACTTAATTATTATAATCATCTAAAATCATAACCAGGAAGTTCAAATATCTTCCTTTTACTTTCATTTTTCACGAAATATTTCCGGGAAAGTGAACATCCTACAAATTGTGATATTGATTCTGGTAACCATCCAAAGATATCAGAGAGTACCAAAACAATGCACACCGTATTCACTGATACATAGCTTTGACATCACTGCTGAGCTTTTCCAAGTCAGTGATTCCATAAAAAGACACATATTGAGCATTTGTAGTAGTATCCAGAAAAGTTGTTGGTTAGTCATGTAGCTCCTACCTGCATCTACTAGTCCTTCTTTTATCCAATGATTGTCATCCAAATCAAGGCCCAAGGACTCCTAAATTTCCCTGTCACATCTGTGGGAAAGCTTGCAAATGGTTCCGCACTCGGCATTCCGTGGCTTGCAACAACTGTGAACTCTGGTACAACACTGACTGTATGAGTATGACAACCCAAATTTATAATTCCTACACAGAACCAGGTGTAAGTTTGTGGGAAAGAAGCCAGGCAAATTGTTGGTAAGTTCCTCTAACATGACAAGAAAACTCGTCCGGTAAAGCTTTGGCTTGAACTCAATAAAAGTGCAATTAACGCTGATCACTGAAATACCCCTGAGAGTGATTCGAGACAACTGATGGCAACAGCTTTGAGAAGTGGATCTCAAGTTCTTCAGCTTCCCTTGTTGAAGTCAAAACTTCTAAATGTTATTAAATATCATTTCAAGTTTTCATTGTCAGGACTTTCTTTTTAAAATGCATATTTGGAATTCAATTTATGCTAGTCGTATTCAATTCAACCCACACAAATACGATTTTGAATTTTATGCCTATTATTTCAAGCAGTCCCGAACCCGACCTTCTCTAAGTCCCCCCCCCCCCCCATATTTACAAACAGTCTCGCCTCTGTAGGTCTTATCTGTTTCACAGGCTCTAAACTGATTATCTTAATTCATTTAAAATATGAAACAACCCAAATAAGACGTTTATTAGAAAATCGGCATTTTTTAATTTTACACCAATCAAATTACACAAGCTATTTTCTACTCGGCACTTCTTTCCATAACAAACAAACGACAAGGTTAGCTTTTTTAAAAAAAAGCTGAGAGTCAGCCACTGGAATACAGAATGTTTCTTTCTTGTTTTGTGATGGTATATGATTTGTTTTATCCATCATGTTGTGTTCATTAAAAGTCATTGTCGTCTAAGTTAAAATTCGCCCAGTCGTTTTCTTATTTGTAACATAATGCTGTACATAATAAATAATAAAGCATAGAATACGTTTTAGTTAGACTACATCGTGATCTTTATGATGACCTCCAATTAATTTCTCTTGGGCGCGGACATCAGATACAGGCTCGTGTGAAGCAATAAAATCAGTTTGGGGAGGGGGGCACAGCCATACATTTTCAGTTGGAGGGACACTATTAACTACCAAAAATTCCTTGACAAGCAAAAAAAAATTAATTAATTAATAAATAAAAAGGTCTTCAGACGTTTTTATTGAGGGGGCACAAGCATATAGTAGCTATGTTTTCTATAGTAGTCTATATATTGGAAAAATTATTGGGTTGGGGGGATGGGGGGCACGCCCCCCGTGCCCCCCCCCCCCCCGGTTCCTACAGCCATGAGATAAAGTTCGTCTCAGAAATGAACAAAGCCACTATGATCCCAATCATTGAATGTTGAAGAATGTATACATTTTCAATTTTACTGTTAAATTTTATAAATGATATAGATTATGATGCTTAAAAGGAAGGTAGACCTTGGGTTAGATTGTGTTAATTATTATTAGATAAAAGTTTTTAATCGTGCATGTTCGAGGCAATGCATGATATGGGAAGGGGGAGGGGTGCATACTCTATGTATATTTGATTCAATTTCTAAATTTAAGCAATCATTTTAATGTTATTAGGAAAGAAAAGAATTGCTTCCAAAATAAAGTAATAAACTGGAAAATTCAAAATATTTTATACATACAGTACGTATACCCTAAAATGATACTGGATTCTATCTCGCTCACTATCTCTAATTGGGGGGGGGGGGGGGCTGTCTATAAATATGCGCAGTTTCTCTCAACTATCGCAGTTCTACTGTGGTCAGTTTCTCACCTGTGGGCGCAGTTCACGTGCACAAGCGGTACTTACATGTCTATCATCGTGTAAATTATAAGACTTTACACATCTTAAGTGATCTTCTGACATTTTCATAACTTTCATCATTAAAGTGAAAAGAGATTCTTTTTTTCACTGTTTTGGAACCTTTGTGCAAGTGGATTATTGTGTGAATCTGACGCGTACATGTCTTATGCAAGGTATTGATTGAGGGAGTCTTGCATCAGGCATTCAGAGGAATACACACAAATCCGTGAACTTGCAACGGCGATTGACTTTTTCTGGGTATATATATCAAGTGTTAAATGTGCTCTGCATATAAACTTCTCATCTTCTATAAGAAGCACTGAAATATTTTCATAGTATCATATTTCCCACTTAGAACAATCTCTTCTTTAATTTTTCGTCGAGAACGACGAAGAACAATGCAGTGTATAAATAGATCGAGGTCGCGTCTTTGTTTAGAGGGTGTTTGTGAAGAATCACGCCCTTTGGTTGGAGCAAATAGCACGAGTTTCTTTAGAACAAGTCGTGTACATCTTTTTCCCAGAATTCCAAATTACGCAAGCGCATTTGCAGTTTCATCCCACCGTAACTAGTCAGCCCGGGGGCTGACTAAAAATGTCCACCGTACCCGATGTTTATTTAAAGAGAATTTTTGTTTTTTTAATACATTTTCTTGCAGTTTCTTCATTTTTCAATTCAAATTATATGGAAACATCCTAGAAAGTAGAAAAGCCTCTAAATATTCAGTGACCAATTAACCTGCTATTTTTTATTCATTTAATTTCAATTTTTTATTTTTATTTTTTTCTTATCAATTTTTATTTCAGATCACAACATATAAAGTAACCCCCCCCCCCCCCTGCAAAAAATGGAGAAAAGTGATTGAAAGCCTCCGATTGTTCAGTTCCTGCTGTTAAGTTTAAACATGTTAAATTTAGAATCCCTTCCCCAAAGCTGCAGATATAAATAGCCTCGCACCGCGCTTGTGGGAATATCAAAGATTAGGATTAATTGCGCTTTGATTAAGTTCTGTCTAAATCTAAACCGGAGAAAATGCGCAGAATTTCTTGGGATGTGACGGAACATTGTTGGCAAGCACACATCAAAGCCAGGCAAATTGTTGGTAAGTTTCTCAAACCTAAAAAGTGTGTATTTCACATGCAGTGTTTATCTGTTCACAAAATAATTCAGAGAGTTTTTAATAGATTTCAAGAAAAATTTGGGAGGGTAGGGTCTCCTTGGGCAAAGTAGAACTTGATAAATTTTGAGATAGGTGAAGCAAGAAATTGTAAAGCTTGAAGAAGAAAAACCCATTGTTTATAAGGAAGTCATCACAGGGACTTCGAATTATTTTGCTTCCTTAAAAACAAGATTCTTTATATTCGTTTAATTAAAGAACATAGTGTAAAGCCTTCTGAGGGATTCTGAAAAGTTTTATGTAATATGTAATTGTTTATTATGTAATCTGTAATCGCTTATAAGAACAAAACAGAATTAGCAATGTTGATGTACAAGTTGTTGAAATGTGTAATTATCAATTATTGATTATAAACAACACACGTGTGTAAAATTTAAAGGCAATGAAATGATTGGTGATATACCGAGGTGACAGTATGAATTGGTTTGGTATCTTTAGTTTTAAGGAATGAAGCACACATTCCTGATGTAATACTGTTTTATTTTGACAGCTGTTGGATCTCATCCTGTTCCTGGAGGGGAATTTCCACCCCAACCGGTTATATACTGCAAGAGAGAGAGAGAGAGAGAGAGAGAGAGAGATTACTGTGTAATAGATGCAATCACTCTTTGGCTCGTTTTTACTCAATAACAATTTTTGGAAGCAATTTTTGATTTAAGAAAGGAAAATGATAATTCTTACACAATCATAGTATATTCCAAGAGAAAGAGATAGAGATGTTATTACTTTTTCTGTCTTTACACTGCAGTAACAATGTTTGTCAAGTCAAACAATTCAGGAATTTATACTTGAAGTCTAGAAAATGTTATGCTTTTTAAACTATAGATAAAGGGTAATTCTGGGATTTAATTTATTGTTGATAAGTATATTGAGCATTTTTCATTTTACCTGTATGTATTTTTTTTTCACTTCCTACAATATTTCCAAATTTAAAAAAAAGTATGCATTAAAGGTAGAATCACCTGAAATAGAGTCTTGAAAGAACTTTTGGCTGATGTTTCATTTGGTGAAATTTTTGTTGTAGCTCGTGTTGTGACAGAAAATGGAATTAATGGCACATTAAAATTAGACCCTGGAACCCAGCTGTCTATTAATTCGCTTTAAGGTAAGGAGGAAACGGAAGGTCACGGGGGAGGATAGTGATAAGGAGGGGTCAGAGGTCACATCCCCACCTGTACATGACATTTACCGTAACCGACAACAAAAGCGAGCAAATGAAGTGCATGTCCAGATTTTTTTTCCATCTAGAGAATTTGG